TACTAAATCAATTATTGTTATTATTATAATTTATTTATTTGTATTACTAAATTAATTATTGTCATTATTTTTACTATTTTTGTTTAATTAAATTTGATTGTTATTATTTTATTTTTAATTCAATTTTTTTTTTTTTTTTTTCAACCAAAATATATTATTATTTACCCTGAATAATTTGTTGTGCGCTTTTTCGGTTTTGTGCCACTGTGCATGGCATGTCTAGCTGCTGCAATTGGTGGTGCCGCCCGCTGAGCGATGGCCGTCACTCAGCTGCTTGTCTTGAAATCAAAACTGTAGCAAAGTGGTTCACAGCATAATATGCCTAGGCATAGCAGAGATGCCGACGCCAACGTCGCTGGTCCGTGGATGCTGCTGCTGCTGCTGCTGCTGCTGCTGATGTTGCTGCTGCTGCTGATGTTGCTGCTGCAATGGCTGTGGCAAACAATAAAACTGAGTTGCATGCAACAGCAAGTAATTAGTGTTTATATCGGCGTGTTGCAACGCGCTGCAGCAGCTGCCAACTACTCGGAAGAATATCCATATGAAGGATACGCCGCGTACTCGCGCTCGTTCTCGTCCTCGTCCTAATCCTGTTTAGTGTTTCTCTATATATTTGAGTGCTGTGCTGTGCTGGCCAACTGCTGGATTAGATAAAGACCGTTGCATCGATAAATAGACGCAAAATAATGTTGCACTACATCGCTGCCAGCTGCGCGTTGGTGGCGCTTCTGTGCGCGACGCCAACCTCGGCGGCAATCCACAAGCGTAGCGGAGCCCGTGCTGCCAATACGGTGGCCACTGAGCCGGAGGCGACGCCCACGCACAAGCCGAGTGCAGAGAATACGGATCTGCTGGATAAGCTGAGCTGGAAGTGCGCCAACAATGCCAGCTGCCTGCACGGCGTGGCCAATGGCATCATGTCCTCGTATCGCCGTGGCGAGACGATTAAGCTGGGTCTCTTCGATCTGGTCAAGCTGCCGCCGCTGGACGAGGCGCACAAGCACAAGTGGGGCACCGGGCGCGGCATGTCCAGCTTCATGGACTTCATCAGCGGCAATGCCATACGTGTGCCCGTGGGTCCGATGGTGTTCAGTGTGCAGCGGGCCGAGGATGACAGCGACTACATTGAGGTGGCGCTGCTGAAGAAGGCGTCGAGTGGCACAGGTAATGGTCCTTGGTGCGCCTGATTGATCTGTACCTAATTGGCAGCTGGTGCGGTCACTTAACTCCGATTGGCATCCGATAACATATGCTGCCCAATTGGAGTACATTTCGTTCGGCGTATTCGGGATTAGTTGTTATGCAGCCCACATCCATCAGCCAGTTGGCCCAGGGCGACAGACAGACTGGTTCGTACCTTCGGGCAGCATTTGTCAAATGCCTAACCTTGGCAGGACCTCTGGCGTATATAAATGGCCCCGCGGCCAGAAGGCCTGCTGCTCCAGCAGCCATTATTTATATTCATTAGGTGTGATGCTCGTCGAAACATCAATCATATCAGAACGCTCCAATTCAATCCAGTCCGAACTACTATTATCCCACACACACACACACAAACACACACTCACACAGACGCACATCGTGCTACATTAAAGCCATAAAGCTTAAAACGTGTCCTGCTTCCATAAATTTGTACAGGACGCCTGCAAGGCAACGGCGGCGGTGGCGGCGGACTGCTCGGCGGTGGCGGAGGCGGCGGACTGCTCGGTGGCGGCGGCGGCGGTGGCGGTGGCCTGCTGGGCGGTGGCGACGAAGGCGGCGGTGGCCTGCTCGGTGGACGTCGCCGACACCAGCATCAGGACAAGAAGCAATTCCAAATGTATATACCCATGTATCTGGCCGCCACAACCTTTGGCTGGACGATGGTGGCTGCCAAGGCGGTGGGTTTGCTGACCCTCAAGGCTCTAATCCTGTCGAAAATTGCCTTTGTCGTCGCAGCCATTGTGCTGATCAAGAAACTAATGGACAATGCCAGTGAAAAGTGAGTCGACAGCATCATAATCATCAGCAACTGCCCCAGAGCATAAACCCAATCTCCATTTTCAGAATGATGTACCAGTTCCCGGAGCACACGCCCTACATGATGCCCTACGGCATGGACTACCCCATGCACTCACCCGACATCTCGCCAGAGATGTTCCCCAGTGCCCTGCATCAACTGGCTGTCGCCGGCGGTGGCCAGATGCCGCATCCAGGCCATCCCGGCCTGGAGAGCATGGCCGCTGAGAGCCACTTGCAGTCGCAGGTCTCCAGCGATGGCAGCAACAACACCAATCCGCTGGCCGCCCTCGGCGCGTATGGCGGCCTGGGGCACAAGATCAAACGTGAGGACTCTTGGATGGCGAAGAGTAAGTGCATTCTGTGCGGCGTCATAAAACAGCCTTACCCTTGTTTCAGATAGCCAAGCCCCTGTGGCCTCTGCGCTCTGGTAGATCGCCAGGCCAACGCCTCTGGCACACTTCTGGCCAGATCGATGCCAGCACGCTCGCCGTGGCCGCAGCCGTGGCCGAGGCGAGCGTTGAGGCAGACGATGAAGAGGATGGGGATGATTTCTGAGTAGTGTGTATATATTTTAGCTTTTGCTTTCGCACGGTTGGGCTGTTTTGGTAATACACTATATGAGTACTATGGGAGCAGATAAATAAGCACTGCACTTTTATTGTATAAGGGAGTTACTTTGTGCGAGGTTTCGAAATCCTAATGACTTTCAAATCATATGTGCCTAGCTTTATATGCACTGAGATTGCAGGCTTAAGAGATAATGAATAAGTCAGGAATTCCATTGGTCTATGAAGAAATCTATCAAGAAATCTTGTAGAGAGAAATGCAAGCATTCGATGCATTTCTTTATTGATGATTTGATTGATTTATATGCTGGTATAGCGAAAATAAGTTTTTAACTAGACTGATCCAATTAATTAGTTTGGCAAATTTAGCTGCCAACTACTAAACACGGGAATGAAAACTAAAAAATGTAAGAAGGCAAATGGAATGAGATGAGAAATACGTTTTTATTGGTTAGCATTCATCAAATTTAATGATTTATTTCAAATTGGTTTCATAATACTAGTTTTAGCAATACTTTGTTTATTTATATTTAGTTAGCATATACATCATAGGAGTCGTCTCCCTTTCCTTTTTTCTTTTTATAAGGACGATAACAAGCTCAGAATGCATAGATTAAAGGAGACAGTAGTTAAGCGGTGTAATTATCACAGATAAAGCTGAATAGGATATTCAATCAATTTGAAGTCGATAGCCGATACAGTAGGCTTTCATGTCCGTGCTGGCATCCTGAGACTTCTCCTACGCCACAGCGAAATCTAACAGATCTTTGAGTTGGAGTATCTAACAGTCTAGCATCTCGTGGCGTTGTTTTTATATACAACACATTTTATATAAAATTATTATAGAATGTTGGAACGTTTGAGATCTCGTACAAACATCTATTCAATCAATGTCGCTTATCACAAAGGTACAGCTTAAACTTTTTCCATACAACACTTCTTATTAATATAGCTGTTACAGTGAATAATACAGGCCCATTTCATATTACATCGGAGTAGCAACCGTCACAGATTGACAGCATATGAAACTGAAAACGGAAAATCCACTCACTAATTTCCAAGAATACCTTTGACGAACGTACTCTGTGCTGCAGGAAGCTAATTGCATCTGCGTAGAGAACATTTGACGCCAATTTGGGGCTGCGATATTGCGTGGGTTCACACAACTTGTTGCTCGTTCATTCAGTTGGCACAATATTGGAATATGCACTGCCTATTGCTTATTAGATTGCAAATTTGTAAGCGGACAGGCAGTGCACACAGAGCGGAGCACGTTCCAAAGTTTTCTAATAAGTCGTATCCACTGTTTGCACAAAGTTTCGGTTTAAGCCAAACAAAGTGGGGCTAAAGTCAATGCTGCCAGCATTTTGTTTCCACTTAATTCAACAAAGCCGCAATTAAAAGAGACACACACATAGACTATCTCTCTCTCTATCTCACACATACGCACTCGGAACTCTCTCTGGACATATATTAAATCGCTGCATACTTTGCGGCTGCACGTAAAGCAAGCACACAAGCGGGCTATCAAGAGTAGAGTGGAAAGAAAGTTTTGGCTAGTGATTGCAAACTTATTTCGTACTTCGATGAAGAATTTATGAAAACAAGTAGAAAGTGTTTGGGCAGTGAGCGTTGGTACTGATTGGTGTATTCGTTGCAGCCACGCAGTCCCGACGACCCCTCATCTACAACTACGTGCAGCCGCAGTTGCCCTTTTACCGCCCGTAGGGGCTGGGCTTAGGCCGATTCGTGCAGCTCTTGGGCCCTACCGCAACCAAAGACCGTGAGAGGACAGTGTGGAGGAGAAGGTGAGGAGGTTCTGCTGCCATAACAAATGAACATCTGATGCCCGGCAAACGAGGAGTGCTCTAAGCTGCTTAATTAACATAATTAACTTACTTATTTATTGCTATTTATGTTGTATTTCTCAAATCGTTTATAGTTTAGAGTTAGGTCTAACACACACACACGCACACACGTAGTTGAAAATACCTGAAACTAGCAATCAAAAATGCTACAAAAACTAAAAAAAAAAAAAAAAACAAATAAAACGAGTTCTAATTAATAAAAATGAAGAGCGAAAATTGTCTCGAAAATTTATTTAATATGTATTTTATTTAACGTTGAATATTGAATTAACATATTTAAATAAATAAATATATGTAAATGTAAATATAAATAAATAAAGTACAAGTAGAGTGAAAGAAAGTAAAGTTCACGCAATTAAAGCGTAATTAAAAAGAAATTACAAAGTGAAGTAAGACAGAACGTGGGAGCGAGATAGCATCATGAAAAGAGAAAACGTGATTACAACTATAATGAGAAAAGCGCGGCCCCCACTTTATAAATGCAACATTAATGAAAAGCTTCGCATTATTTGGTAGTGCAATTATTTGTTTCTTAATTGTGTTTTCTTGTTGTTGTTGTTGTTGCTTAACATTCTCTTATTGCGCCACCTTGGCGGGCTGCTGCGCACTGTAGGCCATCTCCTGCGCCTCCTGGGCCATAATGTGCGCCGGCACCTGGGCCAGGCCCTCCACGAAGCCATCGAGAGCGCGCGCCCACCCAGAGCTGTAGCTGTCATGATGCGACGGCACCTCCACGATGGTCTTCTTCTGCGAGAGCAGTTTCTTCAGGGATATGATCACTGCCAGCAGCAGCGCTATTTTGGATACAATCAGCGCCTTGCCCGCGAGCAGGAACAGACCTTTCAGCAGGATGGCGCCCACCATGCCCGTCTTGGCCGCCATCATCATTAGGACGGGGCCCATGTTCTTCATTTTGCCGCGGCCCTCCTCCAGCGCCTCGATGGGGCGCACCGAGACGCCAACGTTGAGGCTGCCCTTGGGCCCGCTGCTCATCACAAAGTCCGCATTGTCCGAGAACTTGTAGCGCAGTGTGCGGGAGCGTACGAAGCGCCACAGCTTGTTGGCTATCAGCAGGCCGTAGGACTCCTCGTCCGAGTCCATGGCGCGGGCCAGCAGCAGCTCATCCTCGCTGTCGTCTGGCACGTCGGGCACAGCTCTATGCGGAGCACAAGCGAATTGAGAGAGCTGTAGAGCTGTAGAGAGCTCGCTGCTACGACACTCACCTGTTGCGCGAGACCCGGAAGTTCTCGCTCAAATCAATGCTCGACTTCTTAAATAGGCGGTCCAGAAAGATGACCGTCTTGAGCATACTGCACGAGTGGTTGTCGTTCTGGATGCACTTCTCGTTCAGCTTAATCATGGCCTGCTCCTCCTCCTTGCCAACATAGTCGCCGGTTATCTGGAAAGGAGCATTAATGGCATTAGCCAACGGCTACAACTCAGCAGCAGCAGCTGCTGCTGCTGCCGGCCGATAAAAATATCCAAGCAATAATTATTTGACCCATTTCTTGGTCGAGTGCAAACAAAGGTTTGACATTAATGGGCTGCAGTCCTGGGGGCATGTTTGGAAATTGATAAGATTTTTGGGACCGAACGCATGGGCTATCGGCTCAAGCCAGGATATTCGCCAGGATAGTCGCAATGCCTGGACTTAGCAGCGATTTTTCACTCTCTTATCGCTGGCAGCTGCTCTACTTCCCTTGCGTTTGCTCTTAGCAAGTGCAAAACTTGCCTTGACCTTACCGAGTTGTCACTTCCGTTCTGGGTGGGCGTGGCACGTGCTGTGGCAAGGACAAGCGCCATGCCCAGCAGCGTGTAGAAAGTAAATGTTTGCATCTTGTTGTAATTGCTGTCGCTGTTGCTTAGTTAGCTTCTTTGTTATCTTTATTTGTCTCTGTTATTTCACTGTACACAATGCTCGACTGTGTGTTTCATAAATGTCCTTGGTACGCGCTCACACACACTCACACACACACTTATATATACACGCACGCACAGCACTTGGCGGAAGCGTCTACGCTTGGCTCGAATGTCACGTCGACTGTTCAGCGGTTACTGTTGACATCGTCGTCTTATAAGAAAACCTAATGCGAATTTTCCGCCAGCGATTTCGATTTTATATGAAAAGCGGCCAAAAGCGACGCAAACACAATGCAGGCCGCAGCCAGCGTCGGCGTCGGCGTCGACGTTTGTTTTTGCAGCGTCAAACTAGTCGCAGGCTAAGTGTAAGTGCTGTCTATGTGTGCGCGTGTGTGTGTATATTTCTGTCAAAAGCTGCAAATGGCACTGGGACTTGTTTAGCCAGTTCAAGGAAATTCTAAGCGGGCGCTGTCTATGGCCCCAAGTCAAGCCAAGCACTGAGTCGGCCAATTGACTTTGCTTACGTTCTGCAGCTGCTTTTGCTGACTTTGTTTTTGTTTTCTTTCGTTGGCTCTGCCAAAACAATGCGACTGAAAGTAAACAACAGACCCAATTCCCAACAACAAACAGGCCAATTTTCCCACAGACCCTCGGCAGTGCTGTGGTCGGGGACTCTGTGGCATGTTGCATGGTAGCGTGAAAACAATTTAGTTTGCATCAATTAAGCCACACGTGATCGGGGCTTTGGCCACAGATCTGTATGTGCTCATAACTCAAAGGGAAAGTCGAGCTAAGACGGCTCAGATTAATATGCCAAGCAACGGCCACATCCTGCGACAGGTGCGCATTATCAAGTTCAAGTTCACAGCTCATGCAACAACTTAAGGTGGGGCACAATTGGTAGGCTTAGTGGCCGACTGTTAAGGGTTCGTGCTTGGCCCACTAATTGAATCAATTTGGCCATCATACGCTAGCTGAATTAATGCACACACTGCAAATCGGCCGACAAGCAGCAGCAGCAGCAGCAACAAATCAAAGAGAGCTGCGAGGCGGCCTAAGTAGGCTAACATGAGCCACAAAACGGCCGCTCCACAAAATGTGGCACGCCACGACGAAAGTGGTTGGCAGTGGGGCGCAGAAACCGCTACACGATCTGGCCATAAACCGTTGAGCTGCTGCTGCTGCTGCTGCGTGGTCCCAAATCAAACCGCACCAAAATCAAAAACATTGCGTCCGTCTGAGTCAGTTGGCCCCACCTCCTGCTCCTTGCCTGCTCCACCTGGCTGCCGTCGGCCCCTGGCAGAGTCATAACAATTTCTCAAGTGCTGCTGCCGCTTTCTATCGAAAAATGTGGTCCACTCGCCTGAACTGACGCTGTCGTCGACGAAACGCCAGTGTTGTCACCAGTCGCCAGGCGGCGAGCACAGACGCCGCTGGCCGAGCAGGAGTGGGGGGCGAGTGTGGACAGCTTTGCGGTTTTGGCATTGACTTTGAACTGCCAACGCCATGGTCAAGACCACGCCAAGCGAGGTTTCATTCAGAAAAAGCTCAAGCTGGCACTTAATTTGATACAAATGAAAACAATTCATAAAAGCGCTGCATAGCTAGGAATACCTGTCTTACCTGCCAACTAAAGACTACCTTTAAGTCGTCGCACAATAGTATTTAAATATATTTTTTCTAGCTCGCTGTAAGCATAAGTTGCAGAGCAAACGGAAAACGCTTTGAGTTGTTGCCATTTTAATGGCATCAATTAGGCCACACCACACAGTCCAGAGTACACAAATCGCCCGAAGCTGCAGCCGTTGCACTTGTTTGACCAATTAGTAATTGTTTTTTTTTCTTAATGTAAATTGCAATTTATACTGGAGTGAATTATTCATGCTGAATGTGTAAGCTGGAATGTTTCAAATTGAATACCTAGAGAAATATTAAAACTGTTTGAATAAACTATAATATACATAAATGAATGTATATATATAAAAATTCACTCCTTTGCTCATGCTTAAATCTTCCCTAACGAGTATTTATTGTTACAAAGTCAAGTCAACAAGATTAATGATCCGAATCTGAGGTGGATTTGTTTGGCCAAACCCCAAAACTCAAAAATATGGGTCAGCTATAAATATCGCCGGTAATCAAATAAAGGCAGCCTGTCCTACAGCTACCTTTGGTGGGGAAAATTGGAAACTTTTATGGTTGCTCTGGTTTATTGTGGCTTCAAGAGGCAAACATTGGTGGCGGCCCTCGTTAAAGAAAAGCAAGATTAAACACGCCAGGCCACTTTTCCTTTGCGCTGGCCGTCAATTTCTCGCCTCGGCATTTCATTGCCTTAATTAAATGCTGCATTTTATCTGTGGCAGCTCCAAAGGCAGCCACAGCCCATGCGAGCGAAGAGTGCGGCTGCAGGGGCGCTGCTACAGCAGACAGCAGCTACACGAGCACACTTGGAGAAACACTGAATTGTGAAATTTTCCATCGCTAATTAGTACACCCCTTCGATTGGAGCAGAAGCGGGCACGCCCACTCAACCCACTTCACCCCATCAACCCACTCAAACGGCGTTTGCTTTGAACTTAACAATGGACTTTTATTTACAGTTAGAGCAATAAATATTCTTATAGGAATGCAGTGCCGAGGGCGCGAAAATAAATAACAAACCGACCTGGTCTAGACCGGAACATCCTTTAACTCTTCTGTGGCGTCGCCTGCGGCTCGGCGGCGATATCCTTGCCGGTGTTGCGACCATAGTAGCCATTGTAGGCGGCGTCATGCGAATCGCCAAAGCTAATGGAGTTGCCGCCCACCTGGCCCTGGATGGGCTCCTGGCCCTGGTAGCTCTTGCTGTAGTAGTCGCTGTAGGGCTTGGCAAAGGACGGTTCCGGGCGGTAGTACGGGCCGGGTGCGCCATGGCCGCCATGGCCGCCCTCGTAGTGCTCATGATGGTGATAGTAGGTGGCAGCGCCCACGCCTTGGGGCGTGTACTCGGGGAAAGCGGGCTTGCCGCCAAAAAGACTGGACAGGCCACCGCCAAAGGCGCCTCCGACGCCACCTGGCGGGCGGCAGAGCTTGAAGTAGGCGAACAGGCCTGGCAAAATGATGGCGGCCAGGCCCAGAATCTTCTTCAGACCCGCAATGCCCAGGATGAAAGGCAGGAAGAGCAGCAGCTTCAGCTTGAAGATCTTCAGCACCAGCAGCAGGGGAATAATCATCTTCTTCAACTTCTTGCGAGCTGCAGAACGAGAGGCAAGGTTAGTCTACATCAGGAACTGAATGAGACACCGAATCACTTACAGAAGTGTCCGGCGCGCTTGTTCTCAATGACATCCAGTTCGTCGTCAATGTCATTGCCTATGAAGCGCGCCTCGTAGCGACCGGCCTCGGTGAGCTCCTCGGGCCACTCCAGCTCCAGCGCAGTGGACTTGATGAATCTGCGGCACAGGAAAAAGGATGTGGTCAAACAAGGGCGAATATTCTTTATGCATAAGTTGCTGAGCTCATAAAAAGTTTCTGGCGAGTCAATTAGGCGAGCCGGGACCCACATTAATTGGCAAAACTTGAAGTCATTTGACTAATTGTCTGCCCATTACGACCTACCGTTCGGCGCGGCGGAGCGCGTATTTCACCAGCAGATTCCAGTCGTCGTCCTCGGAGCGCGGCTCCTCGGAGTACTCGAAGGGTTCCTGCAGCAGCGAGCGCTGCTGTGTCTCAGGCAGCCGCACGACGCGCGCAAAGTCCGAGAGACTGTGAAGGAGAGGCAAGAGGTGAGCACGAATCGCTTTAAATGATGGAAGGCGAGCCCTACCGATACTGATCCTTGTAGAAAATTTCATCGAACGTGTTGAGCGCCTGCGTCTTGAAGCACTCGGCCAGGTCGCCGCTCAAGCAGTTGCTGTTGGTGCGCGCCAAATAGGGATCGTTGTCGTTGCCCAAGCCGAAGATGCTCAAAATCGAGGAGCGACCACGCTCCTCGCCCGGCTGCGCCGTCTGCTGTGGCTGCTGCTGGAACTGCAGCGTCTGTTGCTGCTGCTGCTGCTGCTGTTGCTGCGACTGCGGCGCATAGATCTGTTGGATGTTGCTGGACGACTGCTGGTCGGGCAGACGCAGCCCCTCGGCGGCCACGAGGCTGATGCCGCAGCAAGACACGATGGTCAGCAAGGCGAGCGCTCTCATTGTCATGGCTAAAAGACAGAAAATTTCAGGCGCATTAGCCGAATGGCCCATAAAAAGCACATAAAAAGCACAAAACAAAAAAAAAGTGAAAAAAACAAAAACACTTTTCGGCCAATTGAGTCGGGACCGGTCAATCGATGTTTTCTCTGCGATTGGCTTGACGGCTCTGAAGCTGCGCGCTGCAAGCGGAGCTCAGCTGGGCTTGAGACAAAAGTTATGAGTTATATATATGTGTGTGTGCGTGTGTGTGCGATGCTTAGCTCTTTTTTGGCAACTTTAATGCTCATTGTTTGTTTAGTGGTCGAGCTGATTGGCTTTTAGCTAGCGTGGGCTCGGCACCCGGCTCCCAACTGACACAGTTTGAAGAAGCGGCCGGTGTATCGCGTTTGTCACGGCCATTGGCGAAGCTTTTGGCAGCCGCTGTTGGGGCCCAACTTTTGCAGTTATTTGCGCACACGTAATAACTCTCACTTTCCAGCTAAGCGCAGCGCTTACAGCTAACAGAGTCCGCGGTGCTCGCTCGAGCCGATAGGCGAGCTTTCTGTGGCTTTGGCGCCGAACATTAACCGAAATTTTGAACTCTGCTTGCGGCCCAAAGTGAAATGCAATCAAACCGGTTTTTATTTATTTTTCGTAAGGTTGAGTTTGCCTTTTTTTGTGGGCTCTTCTTGTGGCCACTTAACCCTTTGTCCGCAATGAGCTGGCCAAAGCAACTGCACGTAATTGAAATTGTGTTAAATTTACAAAGCGCAAGGCTAATCGACTATAAACAGGAAAAGCTGGATTGCATTATAGAAAACTTAATGCCCTTCAATATGTGTCGTAAAAAAGTAATATTTTTGGAATATTATAATAATGTTGATATATAACTTTCATAATTTTTTAAAAGTAATATATAATAAATTTTATTTATTATATAAATTATATATTATTATTCAATTATGTATCTAAGAGCATCATAATGGACGCAACTAAATTCAAGGAAAAAAGTATTGCCTACTTTCGGGCGGTGTGAAAAAATCTTATCTCGAAGACGGAGTGAATGCTTGGAGTTACATAATTCTATATATTTTTAATACTATTTGCCTTAGTCATGCCAGAAATGCTTCATTATATAATAGCTCATTGCCTCGAGCCATGCCAGACAAATCCGTTGTAAATAATTTAATGAAAAATAAAAAAACACCAAAACCAAACCAAAACTCAATAAGGGTTATAAAATAAATTGCTCTTTGATCCAGGTACGACTGGAAATTAACCAGAAATGTGGACTGTAAAAAAATGTCGTACAAAGCCTGAATTATATTAAACGGCGAGTCCACAAGAATGCTGCAGAGCACACATAATGGAAAATGTTGTTGCATTTGCGAGCAGTTGCTCGTTTGCTCTTTATTCGTTTGACAGGGAATCGATCGATTTCCTATTATGCCACAATACGTCGACGGAAGTATCCTGCCGTGCTACCGTTCGGGCGAGTTGAATTTGCAGTTTAATCAATGCACCACAACACAAAGGAATGCGATTGAATAGAATTTGATGCCTGGAAACGCCAAAAAACTGTGCAACGTACGCTTCATTATGGCAACTGGCAATATTTATGGCAACATTAATGGAAGCGCACAAAAGTAGGCAACGGACCGGAAACTTTCAGCGAAACTTGAAAATTTCTGCAGCAGCCGCAAAGTATGCATCACTTTTTCGCATTATGGCTACTCTAATGACCCCATTGGGGTGTGGTGTGGTAGTAAATCAGTATTTGATGTAAACTGTGTTTTGAATAAATTAAATGGATGTTGGCATTAAATTAAAATTAAGTGCCTTTCACACAAGCTCACAACTAATTTCTGTAAATGTTTGCGAAATTGAAAGCAAATATTGAGAGGGCTCCATTTGTTTGGCTTTCGGATTAGCATCAACCATTGAAGGTCAATGAAATGTTGTAGACATCAGCGTTGCCAAAACATATGCAAATGGCAGATGTTACTCAATTTATTTGTAATCATGCGTTCATGATACATATATGGGAATGTTTATGAATCGCCTTTTGTAGCACACACTCTTGATATTTACTTTATGGCTTTTTCCATGTCACTTTTTTTTCCTTTTTTTTTTTTTCTTTCGCATATTGCATAACACGTCGCACTTCATTTCACTTCACTTTTGTTTTGTTTTCCGTTGTGGTCCGCTTTACCTTTTGCTGCTTCCTATAAATACTTGGGTTTGTTGGCTTTGTCCTTAACGGCTTACTGAAGTCTTCAGACCCGGTGTTTTAGCTGGCTCTGAAGCGACTGTGCTGCTGCCGTAGCTCGGCAAAGATTTTATATGAAATGCGAGAAGTGTCGAGAAAGAGGTGCAAGCAAAAACGTTGCTTTTTTTGTGCCTCAAGTCAACGCACAAACACAAACACAGACACAAACACAAACACAAACACACACGCAACGAAACAATGGGCCAGAGCAGAGCTTGAGGCCCAGACACCAGCGCAAATCTACAATGCGGATAGCTGAGAGGCACTCGCCCGATCAAGCGGCCATTCATGATGATGTTAAAGAGCCGAAGACGTCAACACGCTCGCACTTGCGGTAGGTTGGGGTCTGGCTAAGCGATGTAGGTCTGTGGGCTGCGGCGTCAACGACTTCGTCGTCCGGCTGGCCGCGCGTCGCAAGCGCCTTGAGAAATCCCCAAAATTATTGTGGCGCACGTCGAGGCCTTGGGTCAAATTCGAGTTTAATTTAAAGAGCCGATGACTCACCATGCGGATCAGCGGGAAAACGTACGTCACAGCCAGCGCCACAGATTATGTAATGCTGAGCACAGGTAATAATCACTTTTACTGTTCGAGACAACTTGCGACTTGGCTGCGACTGAGTCACGCCCACGAAACTGGGGGACAGCGCTCAATTTAAAGTCATGGCAAAATGTGAACAAACTGCTTGCAGCCACAACCACAACAAAAATGTTGGGATTTGCCCGCATGCAGCTGAGGCTGCAATGCACCAATCTTTATTTTCGGATTTTGCGTGCTTCGGCTGCGGTGTGAGCCAATTTTTGCTTTCAGGAAAACCCCCGAGAAGCCAAAGCTCAGATGAAATTGGGAAATTCCCACTTCGGCTGGCGTTTCTAGTCCATGCGCCTTTCTGTTCGCCACCCGTCAACGAGGGAGTTCTGCAGAGAAAATTACACTTATACGACACAACAGGCTAGGCAGCGCCGGAGCAGTAATTACCATTCGGACACAAACGCAACTCGAACATTTCCTAGTCGGTGGGCCTGTGACAGTCATGATGCGGATTGGACAGCTGTGGCAGCTGCCATGTTGCTCAGCTCCACTTGTCATCCAATTAGCCGATGCTCTGGCAAATCGCACATTCCAGAACTGACAGATATTAAAGAATACTTAAGTGGCAGCCAGATCTGTCCACCCGACCATGAAATCTTCATTGTAAGATTCATGTGAATCGTCGCTTAAAACATAATATTATGCGCTTCAGTTAATTCAGATTTCATACGAATTCATTGAATAAATAAATACATTTGTAGGTCATGTTGTCAATTCGAGAGCATTTCCACGAAGTCATTTGACCAAATTGACACCACTGCAGATGCTTACACAGAATTGCGTCCATATGGGTTAAGCCAGCAGACATTCACACCTATCATACACCACACCAGCCATGAGTGTAGGGTATAATTAGATGTGCAGCACTCTGCTTACATTGCATGCTAGTTCACCCTTCCAGCGTGGCCAGCAAACTCTTTCAACCGGAAATCAGCTGTCAGGCACATACGACTGCATAAAGGGCAATAGCTCAGTAACAAAAGAAAATTGCAAAAATGTGTTTAGTGTGGTATAATAAACATGTCTTTCCATGTATATTTTTATTGTGAAAAGCAGCTCTTGAGGAGTGAAAAATGAAGTGAAAGAGATGGAGATGGTGTGTGTAAATTTATTCTATTCAATAGAAAACGTTCAGATAAAGCATGAGCTGAAATCTTAATATATAATGCATTCATAGGGCCAGGCATATTCGACTAACTTGCTAACATAAAAACAAATTAAACTTGGTTTTCGTTTCATGTAATAGACATACACACACGCACACACATACACTCAGCCAAAGATACATTTACAGAAACATCCACAGCGAGGGTGGAGTTAATTAAAATGTCTCTTGGGGCAGACTGACAGATTGTTAAACAAATTAGTTTTTTCTCATCAGTTTTCCAAAAATCGTTGATACTCGTTTGCTTTTGGTTGATGAGCAAATGCTTTGAAAACTAGTTTTTGACACAGACGTCCGTCTGTCCATATAACATTACAGCTTTGAAGTTGAGCGTACGATGGAAAAACAAAAGTTTTGAAACATTTGCAAATCCTTTTTATCTCTTTAACATACGGGTAGAGTTTCCAGAAGCATGGGAATAATAATTGTAACTATGCATAAATGTTTTTGTTATATGGGAAATCCATTGGGTCTGCTGATCATATATCAGCATATGATATGATATGTAAAAAAGTCATAACAGAACAACAAACATTCATGCATAGATAAAATGTTTGTTTAATAATTATTTTGCAGTTTTGTCATCAAATATTTGCATACTAAATTTAAATATAAATTATACTGAATTTACATTTCGTTCGTTAATACTTACATTTCATTTGCTTCTGTCCCATTTTTCATAAGGCCCCGGGGAAAAGTCCTAATGAAAATCTTGTTGTCAGCTTTATAATACAGATTAACTTTTATTCATTTTGTATAGGAGCTTAAGCAGCTTTAAGCAAATCAGGCTGACTAAGTGGATATAACAATATTCAATAAATAAATAAATAAATAAATAAATAAGTACATATATAATGTATACAAATACATAAATTATATAGCATATTCAATAAATTAATCCGTTAAACAACTCAACTAAATGGCTAAAGATAACAGCAACTGCTTTGCGTGTTAATTAAACTATTCAACATAAAAATTCTCTATTTACAGCACTCTAATTAAAGCCCCGAAACACACAACCCGTCGTCAGCTGACAGCATATTCAAGCTGCATAAATATTTATACGAATATTTATGTCTATGCGCAGCATGTTGTTTGTGTATGTATGTATGTGTACAGATAAATAATGTATAGTCGCACATATGCATTCATGTATGGCTAGGCTAAAGTTAAATTTGCATAATTACAGCTACAGGCATCAACACCTGGGGTGCCCAGGTCCTGACTCGTGCGAACTTTCACCTTTCGCTCGTCTGGCTCGTCTGGCCTTCTGCGTCCTACGCCAGCTTGCGGGCCTCCACCAGTTTGTTGATGTCGTTGTATGTGGAGAGCATTGCTGGATTTTCGAAATCCTTGAATTCTTTGCATTTCACGAACGACTGCTCGCAGTCGACGCCATCCTGGCCATCCTTGGCGGCGCGCATGTACTTGAAGAAGCGCAGGATGTCTGGGTTATCGGAGGTCGGCTTGCGCAATTCATTTAGCTCGCTGCCAAATGAATCAGAAAATAATACACAAATTTAACGAATTTCACACATCGCCTAATGCCGATTCATTGCATAATTTCGGGCGTGCAGAAATACTCACCGACTGAGCTGGGCCGAGACGAGGTTGCTGTACGGAGCATACTTTGCGGGATTGGCGTACATCAGGCAGATGAGCTTCTCGCGACAGTGCTCGTTCTCCGAGTTCAGTTTCAGCTGGGCAAACACCGAGTCCAGACGCGACAGCAGCGGACTGTAGAAGGGATCGTAGTTGGACAACAGCAGCGAGGAGTTTGGCACCTTCTGGAAGCTCTGGAATGTGTTCATGTTGGCGGGCGAGGCGGGCTTCTTGGCCATGCCGGGTGCCGCCATGCCGCTGGACGAGCCCGACGAGAGGCTCTGCGAGTTCTTGAAGGAGGCGGCGCCAATGCTTTGCAGCGCACTGAGATACGTGTCCTGCATCTGCTGTCCGCCGTACCTCGACAGCGTGGCCGAGTTCAGCGAGTTGGGATTGAACGGCGCGTACTGCGCCTGCTGCTGCGAGGCCTCTGTATGGCAGGGGAAAGCAAAAGGATATTAGCTGGGCGAATGCCATCGAATGGGCAATTCAACAAACCTGCATTGTACTCATAGCCAGCATTCGGCTTACCATCATCGGCCATCGCGAACTTGTTATCCTCCTCAAAGTTAAGGCTGTTGTCCCGAAAGTCCAGCTCCTGCGGCGGATCCATGGGACGCACAAACAACGGCACGGAGCTGGCCGAGCCCGAGGTAATGCCTGTTAATGAATGGACAAATTATATAAATATTTGTACAATATATTCCAGGAGGAAGTGAACGAGCAGCAGATATGAGCTTGATTATGCATTCTACCTTTCAAAGATTAAACATTTTATTGCTTAACTACTTGGAGCAATGAGTACTCCCCTTTATTACTCAGTCACATTACTTAATGATGCTTCAGTACTCACCCTTGCCAATCAGGCGACTCACGCTGCCAATGATTGTGGGCAGAAAGAGGGCGAACAGCAAGCTCTTTAGCACCTGCAAAGCCATGTAGATGGGCCACATTATCTTCTTGAGTCCTGTCGGAGAACGAGATGCGTTAGTGTGAGTGCGAGAGTGTTGTTCTCGCAAAGTCTTACCTGCAAAAAACAATAGCCGAGCGCTTTGCAGTGCACGGGGAACGTTGAGCTCCACATTGGCCGATTCGAAAAGGCTGCGCTCGAGCCTGACGGGTTTCTCCACGTGCTGCTTTGTGTGATTCTTTTGCAGTGCAAACACGAGTCCTGGCATCGCCTCATATTTGCCCTCGTTGAAGAATTGCTGCACATATTCGGTGAGCAAGTCCTCCAGGCCCTGCAGCTCATTCTGCATCGCAGTCGAGCTCTCGTTTAGCTGCCTAACTCTCTCAAAGGGTTTTGTGGTTGTTGTTGGCTTCGTCGTTGTTGTTGTTGTTGTTGTTGTTACTCTCGTTGTTGTTGTCGTAGTTGTTGACATTTGAGCTGGCTTCGACCTTGCCTCGGCCCAACCATTGTGTGACTCTGCAGGTGCATCCTCTCGCATGTAATCCTTGCGCTTCACAGCGACTGCCAGGCGCAAGTCGCTTTCGCCCTCGACCGGCTGGAAGACCCGGTACTGCCCCGATTTGGTAAACACATTGCGCGATATAAACTCGGGGCTGATGTCCCTGGGCAGGATGGGCCGGAAGCTGTTGTCGTCGTTACGCGCCACGCCCGTCATCGTCGTCAAAGGCTGACTGAAGGCCTGGCCAGCAGCGCCGCCTGTTTGATTGTGCCCGCCATTTGTCAACACCGTGGCATGCCCCAGCTGGCACAGCAGCTGCAGCAGCAGTGGCAGCAATGGCAACAGCAGCGGGCTGCAGCGTCGCTTTCTGTGCGTGTTTGCTTTTAATTTGATCTGACGTCGGGCAACAGCGCTCGGCCTGCTTAGCATTTTCATTAAACTTTTGCTGCACCACTCGGCACCACTCTGCTGTAATTTGTTTTTATATTGTATCTCAATCTCTGGGCTGTTGTGTTTTTCTTTTATTTTGTGCATCAATTTCATGCCACCGTTTCGCTGGATCGCTGTTGCACGTTCTGTTCGTTACGCTCTCTGCAATGAAAGCCAAAGGCGTTAAACTTGTTTCTCTCGCACTCTCACGCCGCGAGGGCGGTTTGAGCGATTGGCCAGAGCTGCGATTCGCTTGGCGCATAAATCATTTTACAGCACGTGCGTGACAGACGCGCCGAATGTGACCTGCAGCAGCTGCCCACCCACTTGTTAATCAGCTTGTCTATTAACCAAACACTTCCTCTCTCCCTCTCTCCTTGTTTTCTGCCTCTGCCTTTACCACTCCCCTCTCCTCACACTCCAACCGAAGAGCGCAGCCAGCGGCGTTTTGTTAGGCGTTAAGCAAGCAATGCACGTCGCACACTTTTTATTTGTCTTTGTCGGCGACGCTTTTTAGCACCCAGACTCCCCGCACGCCGTTCTCCTCTCCTCTAGGCGCCTCAAAAGTGAAAATGTATACAGTTTGTTTATATTTGCACCACATTTCAGCGGTTCAGCTGAAGCTGCGCCCGACAAACCAAGCCAGCTCACGATATTTTCATGTCGAATTTTCACTTTCGATTTTGCTGCTGCTTGGCTGCATAATGAATGTGCTCGAGAAAAACGAGTATTACAGAATTACTATCAAGAGGTATTCAGCTTCAGAGAGCAACACAATTGAAGAGCAAAAACTCTTTTCTCTTTCGGTTTTGAGAAGACTTATTAAGTGAATAAAGATATTCTGTTTGATGATTATAAAATATGTAATATAATTAAATATTTACTGATTTATCATAGTTTTGACATGCGTTTGCAATAGGTAAATTGGCAGAGCTCTAATTATAAAACTGCATAGCTCAGTGCTCTTGTTGATTTATGAAATCATATGATCTATATTAACACCGGCATGCAGAGAAAATGTTGGAATTATGCAATATATTCGATTTCAAATCGAATCAGCAAATAGTTGTTAGTTAGCATAATTAAGCTCCCTCCAACTGCGTCATGTTGATAATGAGCAGGCTTAGGCAATTGTAGCTATTCCGCTAGGCTGATTGAAAATTGGCAATAATTATTGCAGTGCGACTACTGACAGTTGCCACTGGCATAATCGATGTATTATATAAAGTGGCAGTTCCGAGTCCTTGGAGAATACTCAAGCAGCGCAATTGACCTGGCACTGTGTACATACATATATAGCTTCTATTTTCAATTAACACACACAGTTTCTAGCCAAATAGCCAAGTCCTTTGAAATAATTCAATTATACAACATTTGCACTATACTAATTTATATTATATATTGTGTTTTATTCTAAGCACTTTCTTCACACATTTAAATGGTGCATATTATTTTCAATTCAAATATATAATTTGCTGCAAATTAAAGTGAACTCTGGAGCTCAGGCCACACCGCAAGCATTCAACCAGCTTATTGTAACAAATTCGTTCGTGTGTGTAACGCATTGAGACTAATTCATACGTCAGCTGACTGCATTTGGCACAAAGCAATCAAATATTAATAGCCAGCAGAAGACGAATGAGCAGTTCGAGCAGTTGTTCTCTGCTGAAAAACTAATTAACACGAACAGCAAATGATACTGATGCTTTATAAATGGTGCATTCACGTTGCACTCGCTGCAATCATTTATCATGGACAGACGCATTTACTGCCACTGTTGCAGTTGCAGTTGCAGTTGCAGTTGGAGCTGCCAATGCTTGGCAAACAAACTAACTTAGTTATTCACTTGCACACGCGTTTGAAAAATCCGTGCTCATAGGGGCTTTGGCTCTAATTATCCGCAGTCTGCTCGAGCTGTGCTTACTGCGATGTCTGCATGCAAATTAGCTGCCAGAATGTAAATGTTTAGATGAAACCCGAAAGTCGACGGGCAGAACCAACTAACGAGACTTTATCACGATGTTTGCATCTCTCTGTAGGGCAGCGGAGCAAGCCAGGCTGCTAGTTTCTGATTCTCTTCTAGCTCCAGCTGGCTTCATGCTCTAATATTCTTGCCCCCACATGTGGCACGAGTTTGGCTCAGCCAAACTGCAGCTGGCAGACAGCAGCTTTTAATCTGCTTGGCTCTGGGCTCGTGGCCTTTTACTTTTGCTGCTTCTGGCTCAGTGTGGGCTTGGCTCATCTCAAAACTCTGTTCTAGTCGCAGACGCAAGTTTCTCAATTAATTCGCAAAACTTTTCGAAACTTATGACAGCCGCCGTCGCCGTTGCCTTAATGCAAATTGATGGAATTGGATCATAAGTCGCGTCCAAGTTGTTGCATGCGAATGTCATTAGCTTTATATAAAGGCACAAAAGGCCACCAGACAGTGGAGTGAAAGAGAAGGAGAGCGAGAGAGAGAGAGAGAGAGGAGAGATTGACGTGTGTGCAGAGCTGCGGGGTTATTAAGCTCACTGTCAGCATTTGCGACATGCTCGAGCACGCACTGCTGTTGGTAATAACACAAAGTACAAAAGTTAGACAATGCCTTGAGCCACCGCAACAAGTTTGTGTAACAAGTTGACAAACGGCCGCCAGTTAGCGGTCAAAAGCGCTCATAAACAAACACTTGGACGTCGCAATTGTCTCGGCCAAACGGCTGACATAACCGTTAGCAACAGTGCTCAAGTGTGGTCTAGAACCAGTTATCAGCTGCCCCAGCCGAATCACTTGCCACAAACAGACGCAAAGGCTGGCCAAAAGCCAAATGGGATTGTCGGCCATTCGAGAGAGAGAAGGGTAGTTGTGTGAGTGAAGACGGCATGGGAATCGGAAACTTATAGAATAAGTCACTTGAACATACCCTCTGTGGACTGATAGAGTGTGGCTTTAGGCATTCAACTGCAATAAGAACTCGTTATAATTGCAAATAAAGTCAAACATTTAAGAGCTACTAAGTCTCTGTCATGCAGAACGTGGAATGTGGACTTCGGATATTCAAGTATCTGGCATTCATCAGGCAAATCAATATATTCGCTTAGATGGCAAGGCAAACGGACAACTGGGGGCTAGCGCTAGTTAGCTGTGTGAGCTCATATCATTTCTGTCATATGCAGAGCACAGCAAATAAATTGAGTTCCTTGGGGAAATGACAGCCAGTTGCGGCAACATTGACAGTTGTTCAAAGAATTCCAAACAATTGATAAAAATCAAATCATTTTCCGCAATTGTTCCAACAACATCCTCGATTTGTTCATCTTTTGTTAACTTAAGCACAGCCGGAATTCATCCTTAAAATAAAATCCATTCAATAAGTACTGCAATCAATCAAAAGTTAAAGTCCGTCCTGAAATAGCTCATAAAAAAAAAAGAGAGAGAGAGAGAGAGAGAGAGAGAGAGAAAACAAAAGAAAACAACGTAAAAAGTCAATTTAGTAAGGCTTAAATGAGCTCCTGTCATACTCCCCACTCTGATTAATGGCTAAATCTAGCTGCGCATATATGTATGTATATACCTAGTCGCTTCTCCACTCCACACCAATTTCTAGTCTATTCTTGGTTTGTGCTTGAATGTCAATTCATATCAATTTCCTGAGCCGAGCCAATCCATTCGCCGCCGCTGCTTTCCGTGCCGCGATTGGCCCGTGTAATGCAATTTGGCTGTGCGTCAAATGTGAAATGTTGTTTTCGCCAATTAGTTACCAATTTCGCCTGCAGCCCAGGCCCATTAAGCGCTGATTGTTTTTCGTTTCCCCCCGGTTTTGGCCTGTGATTTTTGGGGCGTCGGCTGCCAATCAAATTGACTAATTTGTATGCGTGGTGTATGCCTTGCTCGCCTTGCTGTTGGCCAAAAATAACTTTAACTGCAGTCCCCGATCGCCAAAAAAAAAATGCCATTTGATGCGGATGCTTTAGAAAGTTACATCTCCGCATCGCGTGCGGTCGTTAAGCACCGGCCAATAAATCCAAATTGAATTGTTTTGGCGCACAAATTACGCAATCCCTGCAAAGACCTGCCGCCCATCCAATGACAATGGCCAACAGCTCAATTTGAGACTAGCAGCCAAATCGCGTTGGCACTCGCGCAGCGCCTCTTTTCCGGCTGGACGATTTGTCAGAGACAAATGTGCATGCGGCCTCTATCTGTCGGATGCGTATGGCACTCGTCAACTGGCGGCAGTTGCACTCGCAGTGGCAACTTTCAAAGTTGCTGCTCATCCGCTGCTGCACGTCCTCAAAGCGAGAGTTGGAAATCATCAACAGAAGCAACTGAAGTAGCAGCAGCGGCAGCAGCAGACACTTATGCTGCCAGTAAGCGAAATGAAAGTACTTTGTGTGTGTGTGTGCTGCACTGAATGTATCTGGCAGATACATTTCACCAGGCCCAACCACATTTACACGCACCACCGGCCAGCACCACAGCTCCACATTGCGACAGTTTCAGTTACAGCTGCTTAACGTTCGGTAATCAATAGTCTCCGCATTAATGATGAGCTCTCGGTGCAGCAGTCTGTGAAATTATTAACATTTTGCAGTTGATTGATGGCAGCAACAACCACAGGCAAGACCAAAACGAAAATACAAACAACAAACAAAAACGAAAACAAATAAAATTAAGTTGTGGACTTTCTTGTAGGCGCATACTCGCACACACTCGGATGACTCGAATAGAAAGTGTCATATGACATTGTTGTTGCAACTGTTGCTGCTGCTGCTGTTGCTGCTGCTGCTGTTGTTGTTGTTGTTGCTGCTGTAGCCGGGTTCGATTCTCTGTTAATTGAGGTAGGCCAGTTGTTAAGTCTTATATAACACAACCAAGCTCTTCAACAATTCAATTCAAGCCCTAGCTCGCTGGCGCGCTTTCAATTTCAAAGTCCATTCAACAGACTGAGAGAGAGAGAGAAAGGCAGAGGTGTGTGTGAGTGTGAGAGAGAGAGGTGTAAGTTCGTCGACAGTGAAATGTTAACAATTGACTTGGCTATTATTGCTGTCACGCTTGCTTTAGATCTCCGCAAAATCTCACGTAATTATAGAGCCGAATGAATTTTCAGCGCCGTTACATCGAAATGCCAAGAGACCAACAAACAGAAAACAAACTCACTTTCAATCCGCTTGGTTTTTTAATTAGTTTACCTCTTAGATAATGCGCATTAGTTTAGTTGGCTGCAGCTTGCGGTTAATTGATTTGTTTTACACATTTTTACGGGCTTTGGCCTTTAGCACTGCTCACTGGGGACTTGACAAAACTTTTGCGGAATTCCGCCAAAAAGAATTTGGCTCGAGACTTTACGAATTTCGTTGAAACTTTCGTTTTTGGCTTTTGCTCTGACTTGTTCGGAAATTGGAATTGCAGTCGGCGTTGGTGAAATGCCTGCAACGAGCGACTAACTAACCGACTAACCGAAACCCGACCGAAAACCCGTTCACTTTGCGCCAACACTGCGATTCATCACTTCTGTCAATGCAATTGTTGCGTTCGCGCTTGCGTTTGGCTCTTTTCACTTAGCCCACTTTGAGCACAAGTCAGATCTGCGATTTGTCGAGATATTCAGATGATTTCTACTCGATTTGGCATTCCGTCGATATGGGCGCGCAATAACGGTTAAATGCTAGCCCAAGTGTGCTTTCATTTGCATAAATACCAAGCGCGGACCGGCACTGCGTTGCGACTGTCTCACAGCTCGCCAAGAGTTGGACTGTCGGGCGAAAGCCAACGGCTGCGATGTCGACGCGGCGGGTGCGATCAACCAGTTTGGCTGGCTGCAACGTAAGCGTAAGCGGAACGTAACGGCTTACGTTGCAGAGAGTCACAGCTGTTCGCTGCGCGTGGAGCGGCTGCTGGCGCTCCACTAAGAGCAATATCCGTCCGAGCTGACATTGACGGCGCGTCGTAAACAGAGTGACAAAGCCACAAGCGATTTTCTCTTTTACACGGAAATTTGAAAGGCTAATGAAAACTGAGCGAGTGTGAAAAACCAAAGCTGAGACTCCATTTAACCCTGGGCCGGCTGCAGCTCGTCAATGTCGGCAGCGCCAAAGATTACAAATCTCCTCCATTTGTGCTTTATCATCATCGCGAACAATAAATGTCATAGCCCTGCATCATAGATTAACGGAAATGCCCAAGTCAGGCCGGCGGACCCAAGCCAAATTGACTTTCGTTTTTAATGGGCAAAAACCGAACTGCAACTGCAGAGCGAAGGCAAAGTAGATGCAAAAGATGCCCATTCATTGAGTGCTATACGAGTCATTACAGAATAACATGGACCACCCCAAGCTAGAAGGTGATTGCAGCCACGCCCGCTTTTCAGTATGTGGCTCAAATTATTAGCGTAATGGGCAATTAGAGAGGCAACACGTGCGGCAAACCGAAGACGTCTAAGAAGTGCCTCCAAAAACCCATCAATCCCTTCGATTCGGGTCTTTGGCAAAATTTACTGAGTCATCAAGGCAGAGAGAGAGAGAGAGAGAGAGAGAGAGAGAGCTCATAACAGCTTTTGCATGCTAAATTTAGAAATTTCTCACCTTTTCCTGGCTATAAAGTATAATTTGGGCCTAATTAAAATATGTAGAGCTTCGAAAATCGATGTAAATTAAAATGAATATTCAAATATTCATGCAATTTTGATTTCAAATTATGCATCATTAATATGTGCGGGCTGTAAAAGAAATATTTTAAAACACAAACTGAATCATCAAGAGATGATCAATATGAGTTATACTTTTGTGAATATCGTTGGCTCTTAATATACTTAAAATATTTTTAAAACCTTTAAACAAAATGTTCTCTGCTTCGTTTGCTCCATCATGATCGATCAGCATAAAAATATCTTTTGATTCACATCACGCAATCTCATCATAGAAGCGCCAATTAAATATCCGATTAATTTATAGTGAAAATATTAATATATACCATAAATATTTAATCTGGAAAAACTCTTTGATGATATTAAAATATATTCAATAAGATGCTTTGTTCGTATCGTATATCGCCAGCATTTTAAAAAGTTGTCCCATGAGTGAGGCTAAACCGTCAATTGCAGAGTTTCACTAACTAGTCCATCGACTTGGCCAAATCAGTGGGGTGTAGTATTTATTTATTGGCCGGCGAGCGAGTTTCTTTGGCCGGTTTACGCACGAGAAAGTCATAGCCCAGAATTGTCCAACTAACCGGCACATTGTTATTAATTTCTGGTGACAAACGTGGCCATTGAGCCGTGTGCCCAACGACCAGAAACCGAGTGGAGCGAGGGCTGGCCTGGCCTGCTGCCCTCAACTTCGACCACAATCATTCAAAGGCAGCAAAATCAAGTGGCAAAACGGAATGAAAGTTACTTAGTATTTGAAACCACAGAATCAATAACAGTTCGCTCTCAATAACTGAAAACGTGAACAATAGCCCGGCAATGTTTTTTTGTCTTCTTGTTGGCGGCACATTCTATGTGGGCTGGAAAATGAATTGTGGCATTAGCACGTGCAAATATTGGCCGACTCATGGGAAAGTGTCAGAAAGTCATTTAACATGTATTGGCCAAAAAGCTAGCAACTGGTAATTGGCAAATCGGCAACCTGGCTGGCCTGGCTGCCTGGCAACCAGAAGAGAAAGAAGCCATTCGGGCCGCTTATCCACGGGAACAGCCATATGTTTATGAGCTTTGAAGTGGTCATGGGCCATGAGTCAGTGTGGGCTGGGATGGCCAGGCATTGAGTCACTATCTCACAATACTTTGTGGCCTGGCAACCTTGCGGCGTGCAGCAGCGCTCTGTCAATAAGTCGCATTAGATGCTGGCTGGATGAACTCTGTCAATATTGGCGAACCTTTTTTACTTTCGGTCTCTGTGCCCAGCCGTTCATTAATTTCACTTTTACTCATAAATATGCTAATCAATGGCTCACGCCTCAGTCAAGCCGCAGCGCCGCTTTGCCAAATTGATTTCCACAGCAAATCTTTATCGGCTGCTTTTTAGCTCTTACTCAAATCGTTTATTATGTTTGACACTTGAGGGCAGTTGGCTAACAGTCTAGTCAATTTTAGAATGCCTAGGCCGTCAGATTGAGTTACGCAATGCGTCCAAGAAGAAAGTTAAATAACTTTGCGTTTCCCTCTCTCACTCTCTCACTCTTGCTTCTACTTTCCACTTGTCGCTGCGGCAGCTGGCCACAGATCTCTTGAGTCCACAGACGGTTTTTAGCATACGGCTGACAACTGTCGTTAGTGACATCATTTGGCCAGGCCAAAACGGGCCACGCCCGGCAAATAAACAAACACTTTCACATATAGCGGCAAGTGCAGAGAGTGCGACAGCCCTAGCTTGAAATTATTTAATTAAATTATTGTTATTATTGTTTTCAGTCGTGGGCCGCTCTCACCTTTTGCTGGTGCGTGTCCCATGTCTGGTCTCACTCGGGTCGCACGGGTATTATTCTTCACCTTTGGAAGATGCGTTGTTAATGACGACGCTGACCCTTCTGCCTGGGCGGTAAGCCGCTTTTCCAGCCGCAGCAATTAACGCAATCGTCGCATTATTACAATTCAAATACCTACCAAGTGGAAGATGTCTCTCTTATGAGGGGCTCAAACGGAGCCCTGGGCCAATTCCAATTCCAATTCAAGCAGCTTAGCCACATGCCTGTGCGCCGGCGACTGTGATTGATGAGCTGCGTCTGGGTGGCTTATCAATACACTTACATACACATTTGGCAACACAAACATCAACATTTGTCCTCAACCCGGCTCCAAAGTGCCGAATTGCGGATGTGAGGCAACATAAAAGCAGCTGTCTGTCTGTTCCGCAGCGCTTTGCTTATTTCGGCTGTCACATAAGTATCCATATGTAGGTCCCATAGACTCTCATACGCTCGCATTTATATTTATCACTGTGGGCCCACATTTGCGCCGTTTAATGGCCCATTGCTCTTAGCGTTATGCCTCCAACTTGGCTGCTTGACTCCATATCAAGTCGAGCCAACGACAGCAGCCCCAACAACCGCCTTAAAGGGCGCCAGCCAGTGCCAAATGTTAAAGGTGTACCAGGTGTATGGCCAGACGAGCTGCTCTGCGTAATGTATGCTAAATAAATCACATTAGCTGCATACAGACCGCAATAATTAAAAGACGAATGTCTGACGGCATATATGTATGTATGTATGTATAATCATAAATATCAGACAAACATGAAATATTCCTAATTAGCATCCAGCTGTCAGCGACGATGTCTCTGAATGAATGCAAGAAAATGTTATATAAACATGTTTTTGCTATATTTTATTTTCATTATTATATTATTAGCATTTTTAGAACCCGAGTTTCCCAGCATCTTTATGTCTGTATTAAAATACCTTTATGTATATTGTGTTACCTTTTACCTTTAGACTGTTATTAAATGCATACATCGTGCTGTAATCAAGTGAGAATTCGCTGTGAAGAGTGCTCGAGGCGGAAGTGGCACTTGCTCTAAACTCTGCCCCAAAAGTACCTTAATTGGGACTCGAGGTATGAATGTATATCTGAGAAACAATTTCTGAGTCGTGAGCACAGGTTGAGTCAAAAGTAATCACCCGATGTTTTTTGCTGTAATTTTCTTCTTTTAGCAATACATTTTGTTCTGTCTGTGCAATTGGCTCCTTGAATCCGTCATTGATTCCATCAAGTGGGGAAAACTGTATCACAAAAGACTTATAACCTGTGCGAACCCATTTGTTTCCATTAGCCATCAGTTTTGCCAGAGCATTAGGCGACAAAATTGCTCCTTAAGGGCTTCCAGAGTCTGACCTTATTCCAAAAACCTTATAAGAATGAGTTTAGAACTCGAGAAACGCGACCTGCAGTTGCTTCTTTTATTGATTATTCCGAGTCGTTGCGGTGTATATATCAAATCTCGACTGCACTGTATTCGTCGTTTATTTACTTCCACCGGATTCATAGCCCGACGATTGCACTGTATGCGGCGTTTATTTACATCATAAATGTCAAATGCGAATTGACATACGCAGCCGTTGGCCAAAGGGTGCACGGAAAACTTTATATAAAATTGTTGAAAAATAAAGCCATAAGAATGAACGAAATGCCCTAAAATTCGACTCAGTGATTCCATTCCACACGCAATGCTTAGCTCGAGCAACTGCGCGAGCTCCTCTCGCAGCTGTAACTGTTCCTTAGGCGTCCTCGACTAGAGTCCGCGTAGTTAGTGGAACTCGAGAATTGAATTGATAATCCTTACATAACCAGAAGAAGAACAAATACACGAAATGTTAATTAAAACATTTATTTATCTAATATTCGTTGCCAAACAGCAAATACTCGGAATTCATTATGGTTGAGCTTAAGCCGAGATTAAGTATAACAGACACGTTGTTAGTACTATGGACACATTGCATGTTAGGTTATATTGACTATGAATATGCATATTTATGTATATATAGTTTAAATTTAAACCACAAGGAAATAAGTTCAGTTGCGAAGTACGTACAAAGCCTTAGAGTGAAAAGCGTAAATAGGAACAAAGTTGAATAATTAAGCATACTATACATAGTTCATATATATATATATTTATATCATACATATGTACTTATCGCTGCTTACATCTGAGGAGTTGTGTTTGTGTTTATCAATTACCCGAAATTTAATTGAAGGGCTCGTTCAATTAAATCACAGTATTTGATGAAACCTAAGTGTAATTGTGTGTAGTGTGTGTGTGTGCTTATATTGCATAATTAATGATACTTAATGTACATATGAATATGTAGAGCTAAAGTATCTACAACTGGGTCTTACAGCTGCGAGCACAGTTATCCCGTTAGCCCGCCTAGACTTATATTTAGCTCAGCTTTGCTTTCGTTCAGTCAACATAGATGCTTACGCCTACACACAATATTCGTAAGTCTCTAAAACTAAGTTTAAATTTGGGATTTCAATTTCGATTATGGCTGCAGCACTCCTCCTGCTCCTGCTCCTCGCTCGGCTCAGATGCTCAGCTGTTCAGATGCTCAGAGTTCTGGGTAATTCAGTTGGCATTATGCATTGCTGCCCAGGGGGAGGAGAGCGGCATGCATTGAGCTTCAGTTCAACACTGCAAATTGGCATTTTAGTAGTGTTGCAAAGCTGTAAGTGTGCACAAATGCTGAAATGGTCTCTATGAAAAGCACATCAGATGCACTTTTGTTTACTTGCGACTTAAATGAAAATTATGCTACGGAATCTCTAATACAAATGCAAATGCATGCAACCTGCGGCCCTGTTTCAATTGCCCTTCACAAACGTCTTGCATGCAAATTCAATTATCTGGGAGCTTCGAGGCTCCGGCACGGCCTGCACACTGTCTGTGTCTCGTATTTATATTTACAAATATTTACATATACATATACATATGCAAATACATATACGTACGACAAAGCACAGAGACTGACTGGCTAGCTCCTGCTTAGGCAGAGATTTAGTTTAGTTGGGTTAGTGTATTAGGCGGATTTGTGGTCTGTGTCTGTTTAAGGCGGCGCCAGGATGATCAGCTCCGACGGCATGGGATTCTCGGTGAGCGCCACAGACTCGGTGACCGCGCTGCGCGTTCCATTTCGTGCGTTAAAGTCGGTGGCCGCGATGCTAACGCCGCCGAGGCAGTCGCCATCGGAGGTCGCCAGGCCCCGCTTGGCGCTCTTACCCAGCAGCTGTAGCTCGCCCTTGGACAGGTCGGCTTCGTGTTTGCGGCGGCGACGCGTCGCAGCTGCCTGGACGTTGCTGCCTGTCGTGTGACCATGGAGAGCAACATTAGTGGATTCAGTGCAACGACACAAGAGTTCTTGAAATTCTTTACGGAAGTTATCGTTGAGCCATCCATACAGCAGCGGATTCGAGCAGGCCGAGCTCATGCCAATCATGTGGCAAATGGCATACGCCACAAGCATTCTCTGCGTGACGGCCGACGGCCGTTGCATGTCCGCGTACAAATTGATGAAGTTCAGCGGCAGCCACGAGACCCCGAAAATGATCGCAATGCTGATCAGCAGTCGATTCGTCCGCTGCATCCGCCTGCCCCGCTCCGTCTTGCGCTGCGACGAGCACTGCACGGCGACCACGGTGATGCGGCTCTTCAGCTTGTTGTAGATGCCGAAGTAGGCGATCGACACTATCACAATGGGCACCAGATACTGCACGCACAGCGAAAAGATCGAGTAGTAGAAGCGGCCGTCGCTCATCGGCCAGTCCTCGATGCAGTACGATATCCTGTGGGGCACTCCGAACTGCTGCAGCACCAGCGGCATGTCCATGTTGATCAGCTGCTTGTAGATGAACAGCGGCGAGGCCAGAATCAGGGCGAGAATCCAAATGCCGGCCAGTATGGTCACAGCTCCGACGAACTGCAGGCTGTCCCGCGTGGGATAGACAATTACCTGGGCAACGGGTGAGGAATTTGTGTGGTAAAAAGGCAGAAGGTTAAAGAAATGAATACGTATTGCATATTGGCCTTAAGGTACCATTGTCTCAAGTTTCCCTATTTATCTGCTAACTATTCAAATGTGCCAATGCTCTATGTAAACTAACGCAGCTGAAATCATTCAGCTTGGTTAAACGCTAATTGACGATCTAAAAATACCATTTTGAACTTTTATCTATTCGCATTAAAAATAGAACAGATAAGTGCTATGACAAACATGAAAAGAAGCAGGAAACAGGAAACAGGAAACTTTGAAAGTTGTAACCAAGCTACCATCGCAATGCTAAAACTTTTGCCTGCCACTGTGGCGGGGGTAAAAGGCTATCAGGGAGCTGTTGTGTCCTGGCTTAGCGATGTCCTTAGCCGTTTTATAGTTGTCTTTGCCAAACCTTTCGCCACATTGCGCACGGAACACACAATTTCTTTCACGCTCTTTGACTTTTGATTAGAAACGACAAAACACTTGGATGTCCCCTCTATCGATTTTTCGGATGTTGGGGGATGTTGTCATAGCAGCTGGCAATGATTATGGTTAATGTGCAACGAGGCTACCAACCTGATATCTGTCGAAGGCAATCGCTGTTATGGATATGGTGGACACGAATATGCTCAGGGCCTGCAGAGTGGCAATCGTTTTGCACAGGGTGGCACAGGAGCCGTATGGCCAGAACTTCGAAAGGAGTTCCATTAGTGTCAGCGGCATGGTTACTAGGCATAAGAGCAGGTCTGCAAATATCCGACAAGAGGCCATCATAAATACGAAATTTCAGGTTACATAACAAAGACACACACATGCACACACACATGCACACACGCACACATTGTCAACTCACCCGATATGGCCAGATTGAGTATGAAGAGATTGCGGGCCGTGCGCATGATTGGTTTACGTAGTACTGCAATTACCACCATTATGTTGCCCATGGCTCCGAATACAATCAATACGCCGTACATGGCGATTAGCAAGTGGTACCACGGACTGCCGATGGAACGATTGTGCAGATACTGGTCCATCAGCACTGGGTCCATTCCGGCGGGCACATAGCTCCCGTTGTTTGTGCTGTTCAGCAGCAACATTGTCATGTTGTCGTTGCTGCTGCCGTTGCTGCCGCTGCTGCTGCTGCTGCTGTCTTCGTAGTTGCTGCTGAGTTTGTCGTAGTTGTTGTTCGTAGCGTAAACAGCGCCTGCATCAAGGCCAGGATAATTAACCAAATGTCGACTCTCCCCAATCGTATCAAATGTGGCGTCGCTCGAAAGTACTTTATACAACTCGGCTGAGCTCAGAATTTGACTGCCAGGTTCAGTGCGGTTCATGGCGATAATCTAGAGAGAGAGAGGGAGAGACAGGGAGGGAGAGAAAACAGATACAAACAGCATGTTAGTCAGTGTCATGCAAAAATTGGGCATTTCTTTCGGGATTGCGTGTGTGCTGAGCGTGATTTAAGTGCTGCTTCAAACGCACATGCCACACGGGCAAAGCATTTGACTAAAAATACACAGCAGTCACTATCGGCCAAGCCAAGGAAAATCGAAAAAGAAAAGGATGTGCAGTGCCAGCCGTTTGGTTTATGCCAAAACTTTGGCCCGCTATTGGTCTTTGACGTGAGCCAAAGGGATTGAGCCTCGTTGGTGATAAACCAAAGGCTTAGTTGGTCTATAAAACTTTGCTAGTTTTTTAATAAGACCTCGGGCCAAGTTGTGACGTTTCTTTTTATAGCAACCAAAATAAAGCGCTTAGGTTTTTTTCAGCCGTTCCTTTTATTATATTTCCAAGTAAAATTCTTCTCAATCTATAATTATAGTGAAGACATATCAGCAGAGCAAGAGCAGCAACTGATTTTAATTAAAAAAGTTTGTTTGCAAAATAATATAGTCTGCATTTTTTGTTGTTTGTTTTTTATTTTGTTTCCTATACCCTCCACTCAATGTTATGTAATCTGCATTAAATTTATGCAAACAACAGCAGCGAAAATATTTGGAACATTACCGCACTTCGAATACCCTGCCAAGTGGGTTTGAGATATTGCTCGTAAAACTTATAGACAGCTAAATTTGTATCTCTATTATAATCTGCTTTCCTTTGTTAAGTCTTTAACTGAATAATAATATTAAAAACTAATGTAATGTCTTTGTTAAAAAGAGTATCGGTAGCCTGCGACTCCCAGCTGGAAGTGAATCTTATAATTAACTTTAGGTTTCGATGAAATCATTGAAGCTCTATTTACACCATTTACGTCATCAATTAGGCGAAGCTTCCTGATTGACGGGCAAAGTAAAGCTCCGTCTTAAATTAAAGTTCCGTTTTGACGTGTTGCTATGCTCAACATTTTCGATACACAAACAATGTGAAATGGGCGATGCAGAAGGCACTCCAATTATCTGAGATGTTACGTATACGCAATATACGGGGGCCGCATCTCTTTTATATGGCCTGCTGCTGGGACCGGCAGTTAGAATCCATTCGATTTGTACTTGGGTTATAAATGAACACAATTGCTTAAGATAATTGCGTAATTTTATGCACCAGATGAGCGTGTACTTATCAACATCAATAAACCGACGACGGAGACCTCCCGGGCAACATCAGCACATTATTCAGATTCCCCAAAGTATGCAGCACAATCGGCTGACTCGATTAATGGGCTGTCCATAAATCAAATGGGCTGGCTGTCTCGCCCGACTCGAGGGACTCGCAACCATCCCAAAAGAGTTAATGCTCTCTAGAAATAGAAATATTGACTTCCTTTCCCTCGACTCGACTCAACATGAAAGCAGAATCGCTGAAAAAAAATGCAATTTTAGAGTTTGCAACTAACAATTGACAAATCTTTGCTGTGTGCAGCGGCAACAAAGTTTATCAATAGATTCATTTCCTTTCAGGATTTTTTGCGCTCTGTGGCATTCAAGAGATACGCCAAGGAAAAACAAAAGAACAAAATATTTACAATTGTAAAGAATGCTCAACAAGGCAACAACAATAGAATGACAAAGTTCTGCACAAAGTTTGACCAATTGTTTTTTGGTATTTCTTTTCGCAGAGACAGGCTCCGTCTCGGTTAGTCATTTGCAGAGAGTCTCATAGATGGGCAGGACTGGAGGGAAATTGAGTTTTCATGGCAGCGAAATCGCTTCAAGTTCATTCTACAATTTTGATTTAGTTTCTATTCGAGAGTCTTGCTTTATTTTAGCTTTTGCTTAGCTAGATCTCTGTGGGACGCTTACGAAATGACTTTTTCCAAAGTTGATGACAAGAAAATTATGTAAAGTAGCCTCAAGTTCATAGAACTTGTCATGAATTTGAATAATTTTCAAGCTGTCAACGTAGCTGGCGCAATGCGTGGGTCTATTTGCATTTTCACCCTACCTACAGTTCTACGTTAAGCTGCGTGATAAAGATTTTAAATGCCACAAAAAAGAGCGAAATGTGTGTAATACACAAAAATAAATAAAAACACCCACAAAAAATAAAATACGAATAAAAATAAAATTCTAACCCATTTTTCTTCTTAGCTCTGCCATTTTTGGCTCAGCCGCGTCTGTGATTTATCTGATATGGTGGCAAGTGTGCGTGGGCCTTCCTCGCCTTTCAAAGCCATTTCCATCGCCTTTTGAGCAACTGCTGGGCTTAGGCATGAGAAATGTCTCAATTTGATAAGGGAAATGTAATACATTCATTCGCTTAGCTCGGGCCTCCTATGCATGGGCTCGATCTATTAATTGGCTGCGAACGTGATTTTCAGCTAGAGAAAAGCTCTTTCAGAGTGAAATATGAAAATGATTTTTATATTTTACCCAGCAATTAATTCAATTTTCGGCTGAGCCAGCAATGTGAATCGACAAATTGGATTTGGGACGGCATTAAGTCCCGTTTGTCGTGGTCAAAAATGAGTTAAGGCAAAAGGGTTTTAATGTTCAACTAACTGAAGCCCAACTGTAAGTTAATTAATTAAATTTAAAGCAGCTTCCACGGAGCAGCTACATGCCGTTGTCCATCTGTCAACTTGTCAGAGGCTCTATGAATGTAAAATGAAATTATGCCAACTGCCATATGGCCAAGTATGTTTCGGGATGCCCTACGAAGGAACGCACGTAAATTGCAAAGTAAGCGAAAAGTTTTCGCCTTCTGTTGAAAAACAAAAGTTGAATTCTGTTTCTAGCTGACATCTCATTTGTGAGGGCTTCTTGGGAAGCATTTATATTGCCATTACAAGCGTAATGTATTCACTCTCACTCCCTATTTTTCTCTCTCTCTCTCTCTCTCTCTCTCTCTGTCTCTGTCTCGCCCACTGCCTTGAGGTATGCGCTTTTGTCTGTTATTAGGTGCATTTATCTGAGACTGTCTTCAGCAGTTGCTGTTGCCACTAGCATTTGTCTCCGGCCGTTGGCAGGACACTTTCATTTAACTTGCAACATGAAATGCACGCAAGGGACTCGTCCCTTTTGCTTGAAGCTGTAGCTGCTGCTATTGTTGTTGTTGTGGTGTGTCCTGCTAGCTTTTTGCCCTAATCCGTGTCACACCATATTTTACTTCAACTGCAAGGCACCAAATGGCACTTGAGCTGCGAATGATGTTATTGCAAACATTTCAAATAAATCCCTGCATTTTGCGAACGACTAAGAGGATTTCTTTCTAAGACTCCCAAAGTCCTGCGCAGAGGGGATCTAAGGGATCTATATTATGTACATACATTTGGCTGCTTAGCTTCCCTACTTTTATGCCCTAGCATTGCCATATAAATGCACATATATATATGTCCATATACATATGTATATGTATTCTCTATTGCGCATTATAAAGCTGTCATGTTACCAGCAGGCGACAAGTTAACAAACTGTGAAAATGCAATTCTTTGCCATGTCAAATAAAATGGAAAATGGATATACTTACATCATCGCCCAGCGATGGGTGAATGCGAATGGATTTAAATACTTGCTGAGTTTTAACTTTGCTTGTTTGCATACGATTACCTCGACAGCACTTGGCCAGACTATCCTATACCCATTCAAATTATAAACAAGGATGTGCCAGCGCTCACCTAATCTAATTAGGGCACTAATGGAACCATGTTGTTCAACTCCTGGGAGAGCATATGAATTTATTAGCTGCCTCGCCTAAGCTAGATAAATTGCGGAAGCTAAAACTTAACTATATTACAATTTACACATTTACTTTTTAATGAAGTTTCACAATTCGTAAATTATGGATAACAAGCTATTAAATTAGCCACAATTCCAGCGAGTATTTACGTATTCCATGGAATATTTATCCTTTTTGGCAGACTGTTGGAATTTCGGCCTATTAAACTAACACTTTCTAATTGACCTCATTAGCAGAGCGCTTAAATTAGCATGGGCAATACGCTAATCCCGCATTCTCATTGCGCTATTTTCTCTAATTAAGAGCCAGCATCGTTTAGCCAACTCATCGAGTGCGCTGCAATTGCTCGCAGCCGACAGCATAATAATTATTAATGGCTCGAATGCAGCGAAATTTGTTCAAGAATCGATTTTTATAATTTTCCATTATCACAGTGGGCGTGGCACTAGCATTTCAAGTGTCTCTTCAATGCAGGTGACCAAAACACGCATTCAAATGCTAGTGAATATTCATTGAAAGCGAGGGAGCATATATATAATATATATAGAATATATAGCAAATATAGAAATATATATAATAATAATATATAAAATATATAATTGTAAGTTTATACTTTACTGGAAGGAGAAAGAGAGAGAGAGAGAGAGAGAGAGAGAGAGAGAAAGAAAAATACAAAAGTGCTGCATGAGAGAGTTTAGTTTTACTGTTCACATATAGATAATCTCTTGGACTTTAATTAAATGCTATGAACATGCACTGAGGGTATAATTTATATTATATGTTGAAAAATACTTCCACAACCCACAATATTTGTATGGCCAAGTTCCCTTTTACTGTGCTTAAAGTGCGGAATGAATTCATAAATTTGTCTAAGCAAAAAATTCAGATAAATAAACAAAAATAAACAATGAAATTCCTGAATACTCTTAATATAAGTATAAACCTCATTCAACACACTCTTTCAACTTAACAAGTTTGTCAATATTAATCAAGATAGACCACATTTTCGAGTAACTTTTATTTCTCCTCAGAGAGTCCAAGCATCACTAAATACTTTTCTGAGAAACTTTTGAGCTCTTCAATAGTTTCTGAATGCTTATTTTCTTTATGCTTCCGCTAAGAGCACTCATTTTTCACACAGTTTGTGGCTATAGGGCACACATATCTTTACACAATTAGTTATGAATCGAAGGCGTTAATGCTTGACGCTTCGCTCAATTTTCATAATTTTTCTCTGGCGAAATGCTTTCAGCTCACTTATACGAACTTCCGCTCTTGGTTTCCGCAAATCCACATTAACCGAGTAGAGACCCAGCCACAGAATGTTTGTTTTTCCATTATTTGGCACTCTGCATAAATTCCGGCACTCAAATCAGATTCCGCTTGAGTTACAATTTCCTTTCAAGATTAACTTTTCTTGTTCATATTTGGAGCACTTTGCACTAGTTTGTGTTATGCGAACAGATAGTTACAATCGCGATGATGAGGTTTGGCTGCCGCACACGTCGGTTCGCATTACGGCCGATTCCCACTTTGATACACACATTCGGCACATTTGGGCAGGGAACGGAATACAAATTCAAACAGAGATTCGGGTACACAGAATCGCTTCGCAATTCACATTTCCCAATTGGAAAATGGGAAAAGTGGCGTCCGGCCGATTATTGGCAAATATCCGCGTACCACTCGAGGTATTCTCTGAAAATTTCACGCCTTCGATTTTTAATGGCGCCGAATGAAAAAACAAACAAAAACATTTTCACACATCTTGGTGGATTACCTTTTCTTGATTTGCTCAATCATTTTCCAACTGCGAATATAATTCGTATAAATATTCAGCATTCTGAATATTTATAAAATATTTTTATTTATAACTTTTGTTTTGTTTTGTTTTTTTGCTTTGATTTCCAGTTTTAATTACTTAAAGCGTTCCAGTTGAGATTTGTCGATCCCGATAACTCGGCGGGTGAACAGCCGGCGACCATCTGTTGGCTTTTAGTGCACAGTTCTAACTTTTATAGCGCTGCCCCTGAACACTTTTGGAGGCGCCGAGTGCTGCTCGTTGCGTATACGCTGCGTGAGCCCGAACTTGCAACTGAACGTGCCGCGCACGCTGTCTGCTTATAGGCGAATGCTTTCGGGTTTGTTTTGGACCAACAGCTGTGCGGAGCTTTCTTATCAGCGCAGCTAGGGGTTGAAGCTGTCCAAAAAGCTGTCAGCACAGTGGGGCGAAGCATATTATTATTATAAGTTTCGTTTATTTGAAAAACATCATACATATATATATTAATATTTATATTAATTAATTTATTTACATATTTAACATTCCCATCTAAAATGGAATATGCTTGGGTCAACACTTTTACTGCTCATCGAGCAGCCCCCTGGCATCGAAGAACGGCAGCAATTTCGCAACAATACGCTGTGCTCTGACTCCCTCGTATACCGAGTCCTGGAAACTAATTGCCTCGGGCGTGTCCATGTACAGTTTACAAAAGTCTGGACAGTCGTTGCCGTTGTAAATCATGAGAGGTTGAAAGACCAAACCTATTATGACGCCTGCATAAGAATGAAAATTCTGGCATTAGAAGGAAACTCAACCCAATTTGATTTGGAAGCGGAGCACTTACAGAGGAATCTGCGTCGCTCGAACTGCAGTTGGAGCTCCATCAGACTGGGTACCTTGCCCTCGTAGTTAAACTGGCCCAAAGCACGCTTCAGGGCATAATAATAATACTGAACCAGCTCCGTTTCTCTGGCCAGCACCTCCTCCCGCAGCGAGGTGCAGAAAAAGTAGTGAAGGTCCAAGACTGGAGGGCCGAGGGTGCTGAACTGAAAGTCTATGGGCAGCACTGCGATTGGCTGCTCGTTCGCATCGTATTGGAACATAATATTCGTTGTCCAGCAGTCACCGTGAGTTAGGACCTGGAAATCGTCGTCTGTCACATCGAACACACGCGCGGCATACTCCATGAGATTGACCAATAGACGCTCCAGCTTGCCATAGTAGCAAGCAGCTAGCTTGGGCTGCGTCTTGACGTAGCGCATCAGCCCCTTAAATAGGTTCGTGAATACCTTTGAGTACCCCTGAGGTCCGCGACTGAAGAAGCTGGTGGTGAAGCCCTGAGCGAACAGCTCGGGCTGCTGTTGCCTCAGCATCAGCGCAGCGGCATGGAACTTGGCCAGCATTTGCAGCGTGAGCTGAGTGTGTGGCAGATCCAGCTGCTTCACACGATCCGCGTTCTGGTACCTGAGCGGAGTTAGGTCCTCCAGCAGCATGATGCCATGCTCCCTATCGATGCAAACGGCATGCGCGTGCAGCTTGTCCTCGATGCCCACCTCTCGCAGCAGCTGCTGCATCCTGGGCAGGATGAACTCGTACATATCCATCTCGCGAGTGTATACGCCGTACTCGGCAAACATGCCCGCCTGGGGAGCATCGTCCGGGCAGCCTTCCTTTAGGAAGTACGTGCGCTGCTCCACTGCACCGCCCGTCAGCTCGTATTCCACATGAATGCGCGTCACCACGCCCACATAGTTTTGCCCCTTGCCCACGGCTGCATTCGACCACAATTTGCGTACATTCAACTGGGGATCCTTGTGGTAAGCCCTCAGCTGAGTTTGCAGGTAATCCTTGGTCAGCCAGCAGGGCAAATCGGAGCCAGCCATTTCATAGAGTTGGGTCTGGCTGATGCCTGAGAACTGAGAGAAACTCGCAGCAGCGATCTAGCTAATATAATGACGTTCTATCTTATCACGTCACTTTTCTCCTTATCATTATATTGTATTATGGAACTATCACTAAAGTGTGCCGTTAATATACTACAAAAATTAAACCATCTTTATTATGACCCGCCATAAGTATAAGTAACCAAAGTTAACGCGACCACATCGTCGTCTACGCTTGAATATATATATATACTTGAATATATATATACTCTCTAAATGAATGAGCGATCTGCTCTGAATAGTGACCAAAAATATATCCGTATAACCATGACGCCGCTTCTTTTCTTATCTCCAATTATACGGCTAAGAGGTGAGTACTGAGATGATCCAGTTAAAATTTGTTGTCTTAGGACTTCAAGCTAATGTCTCTATCACTATCTCTTTTTTTATCTCTCTCTCTGTCTCTCTTTATTGCTCTCTTTCTCTTTTTATCTATCTCTCTGCCTATCTCTGTTTGTAGCTCTCTCGCTCTTTCTCTCTCTATTCATCTCTCAGTATCACTCTTTCTCTCTCTATCTCTATATCTCTATATCTCTTTTTCTCTAACTCTCTCTCTCTTTCTCTTTCTTTCTTTCTATCATCAGCTTATTTCTCTTTCAGCTTAACTCTCTCTATCTCTCCCTCTCTCTCTCTCTTTCTCTCTCTCTTGCTCTCTGCCTCTTTCTCGCTCTCTCCATCTCTTTTACTCTTTCAACAGCTGTTATATGTAAATAATTTTTCCAGATACAAATGTGATTGTCGTTCCTTTCAAAGGTCACTCATAGGTCTTCTAGATGAGAGTGGTTCCTTCATTGCATTTTTGATTTCATGATTTTTTTTTATTATTATTTTGTGTTTATCTATATATAACCCAATGATTGCTTCATGCTCGACCCGAGTGAAAGTTCATTGTAAAAGGTTTCTTCACCCCACTTAAGTGCATAGAGAATTTCTATTGATTCATTATTGGGCAGTCGGCATGCTTATATTATTTGCTGGCCCAGGCCTGGCAACAGTTTCCGCAGCAAATTTGGCTGCTGAGGTGGATCACTCGACACGTTGCCCGCCTCCAGTGCGGCGCTTATCATCAGTGTTTGCCGGGCGCTTAACTGCGTGGCTTCAGCTGTCTGTCATAAATGGCGCAAAAACAGCAGCAGAGCTCGAGGTGGTTCGACCGTCATCCATCCAATCAATGGCAGTGGCAACAGTAGCAGCAGCTGCTGCTACATCGGCAACAGCAACAGCAGCAGCAACAACACCTTCTAAATCATATTTACTCAACTAAAGCATTTACATATGTACAGGGAAGATAGCGCGGAGGCAGTCTGTTGCTCAGCTAGCCGCAAGTTGTATTTATATTTTAATGGGAACCACTGCGGTACAAATAATATAAACATATTGATTTTGGCGCTGGTTGCGTACTTTGCTGTCTTCTGGGGCACTTTTTCGGCAGCCAGAGCAAATTGTTGGGTAAACAAAAGCGTGCCGCTGATAAGGCATAAGTAAACATGCACCGTCGACCCACCGCAACACCGCACCACCGATCCACCGACACGTCGGCATATTTGAGCAACAGTTGCGAACATTTCGTTTATTAAATACTTGCTATTACCTATGTAAATTAACGTTTATTAAGTTAAAGCAATATCAGCGACGACGACGACGGCAATGAAAATTTTGCTAGGGGCGGGCACATGCCTGGCACGAATCGTTCACACGACAGAGGCCTCACTGTAATCGCTTGCTAATCGTGTCCAAATAGTTGTAGCCATGGTAGGGATTGCTCGTCCTGGACCAGTCCTTGCTGTAGCCGTTGGCATTGACGTCGTGCGCACTGGACGGACTGTAGCTGTTGGAGAAGCTGCTGCCCAGGAACTGTGAGTAGTCCGCCGGATCGGAGTCGTAGACGTGCGAGTGGCTCTGCACCAGATGCGGATGAATCTTGCACAGCGTCTTGTACTTCAGATAGTGAATCAGCCAGCCCGTGCCGCCCACCAGCAGCACATTCATGCCCAGCACGCCCAGCAGGAGGGTGACCAAGGTCATCTTCAAGTGAGCGATCTTCATCAAGATGATCAGCGGCAGCAGGATCAGCCACTTCTTCTTCTTGCGCGCACCACGTGCGTCTGCGTGGAGGAAGACGTTCATCAGCCTGCCTTGCATTCGGCTCATGCTACTCACCACTCTCATCCATTACCCGGGCGGCTGTGCCTTTCGGCAGCGCCAGCTGCAGTCCGTGATTCCGTCCGAACGTCTCGACGGCACGTTTAAGGAACTTGAAAATGTTCAACAGTTCACTGTCGCCTGAAAAAACATATGAAATAGGTGCGTAAGCAATTAGCGCGAGCGGAAAATAATTGTTTATTGACCTAAGCGCTATTCGCTAGGCGCACCGAAACCTCTAAGCGAGAAGGCTATCTGCTGGCAATGAAGAACTCTTAATACACTTGCAGACATGTGGATGGGTGGGATTTTAAATAAAAGTAGAATTGAAGTTCATATGACTTCATTTAGTTTAATCATAGCAGAAATTGCTGAGTTTGATTGAGCTATAGATAAAAGAAGGTACGATTCAGGTACGACAACACGAACAGAAGGGCATGGGAATATGGACTCAACTACTATTAAAGATGATATGCACAAATAAAATATTTCATCAGCAAGATCTCCTTCTATGCAGCATAAATACTAATAGTCTCCTCCTCTCGACGAGGGAATTTCAAGATACATAAATGAAAGCCAAGTTGCGTGGAAATTAATTAATTAGATGAGCGATAAACATCCGCGGGTGTTTATCACTTACTGAGAAGCGATAAAGCGTGGGCAATATACTGTTGCCTCTATGCGATGTTTGCAAGCCAAACAAAATGTTACGCGCACCGCAATTGTTGCTGCTGCTGCGACTGCTGCTGGTGGTGAAAACAATGTGGCCAATAGGCCAATCTCTCGCCACGAGCTGCTAATTGCCTTTGCTCTGGCGGCCACTTTCCCATTCGCATTCGCATTGCAATCAAAGCGCAGATTGAGACCCACCTGCCAGGCTCTTGGCGTCGTTGAAGACCACGATGTCGTCGGCTGGCTCGCCGAGCTGCACCAGGCGCAGAAAGCGCGGCTGCTGCTCGCCCAGCACCCGCTCGTGCTCGTTGGGGAAGAAGCCCATGCCGTTGGTGGCCAGCTTCCAGATGAGCTTGGATGCCTTGTACTTGATGCAGGACATCAGATTTCGCGTTTCGAAGCACTGACGCTGATTGCGCGCTATGTAGACATCACTCTGACCGATCAAGCCGCCGCTGGCCCGGGCCGTTTCGATATTCACTTGGGCACTGGGCTCGGGGGACGTCGAGGGGGCTGGGTAGGGCGAGGGATATAGGGGAGCGTCTGGCGTTGCTGGCGGAGCAGCAGCTGGTGGTGGTGCTGCCGCAGGCAGCTCCTGTGAGCTGCCGAAATGCAACAGCAGCAACAGCACCAATGCCACATAGGCAGCTATGCTCCAGCGGGAGAGCGACATATTGCTTGGATAGTTGCGAGTCTTTGATCTTAGCGCACTGCGAAGCACCACCGCACGGCTGGACGAGTGAAACACAAATGGAAACTGAAGGCGACCGGGTACTCCTTTTATCACAAAGCATCAACCGCATGCCGGCTAACGAGCTGCAGCAGTGGCACCGAGCCACAGCCACAGCCACAGCCACAGCTAATGCTCATGCTGCATGCATCGAGCGGCATGCACCGGAATTGAGATTCCTGCCTACAAGCAGCAACAGCAGCGACTGCAGCATCCAGCTCACATTCGAAGCCAATGCCGAAGCCAGTGCGTCGCTTTCTGGGTCAGAGCCAGAGCCAGAGTCGAAGTCGAAGTCGCTGCGAGCGTGTTTCGAGGCGATCATTGATCGAGCAAAAGCATTCACAACAAATTGAGTCGCGTTCGTCGCCGTTGTCTGGATTATGAGCCAGCGACCGGCTCAATGCCTGCGACCAGCGTGCGACTGAAAGCAAAAGCCACAAACGTGAATGCCAAACGAAAGTGAATCCCGAGTCGCTAGCAGATACTCGGCTACACACGGAACGCCTTGGCGCCATTCAGGCCTTGGCCTAACAATGCCGAAGCCAGCAGTTTGCAGTTGCGGCTGCGGAGATGCCATGTAAATGATAGCAATCAGAATAAGTGCGAATGCATTTAAGTGAGATTAACCCGTGTGCAGCAGCAGCACACATCGAATGCATATGGCAGTACACTGAGCGAAATGCACAGTATGAAATTGAAGAGCCAGCTAAATAACATACCATTCAAATCTAAATAGAGTCAATATGAGTAAAACCTAGCTAGTTAAAAGGGATAATATGGTTTAGAGGAGAGACGATTTCAGTTTTTATTTTATATTTTATATAAAATTATTTATACAAAAAATACAGTGAATTTCTTTTAAAAAACAAACAAAGCTGTTTCTTTGTATAATGAATTTTAGTTAATTAATTATTTCCAAATTCACCAGCAAGTAACAAAAGTTCAGCTCTCAGTTCAGCTCAAAGTTCCATCTAGAGTTCTCTTGAGAACAACGGAGTTGTTTGTTTCTCTGAGTGTAGCCAACAAATGTGCGCACTTGAGATTGGTCAGCCTCAGCATCGACGTGCAATTTGCATATTTGGGCGAAAAAGTGTGCCTCGAATTGTTGCGAATTATGAATTGTTTCAGTGCGAATACAAATCGGAGTAGCAGTTGCAGATGGAGCTCGATCTCGATGGGGATGGAATCGAGGCTGGAGACGGAGTCATTGAATCTCTGACCGTCTTAATTACAATGCAGCCAGCGTTGCCACGCGAAAGTTGTTGTTGCTGCTGTTGCAATTGTGATTTGTGCTGATGTTGCCCCGGTTGCCCCTGTTGCCCCTGTTGCCCCCCTTGCATTATTGACCAGTGAAAGTAACAATTGGCGCAGTTTGTCGACTGTTTTTATGGCATGCATAGCATGTAGCATGTAGCATGTGGCATGAGGCATGTCTGTGTAGCAAACTGTATAGTGTCCCCACTGTCTCACATTCTCAGCCAGCTAATTAATTAGTCATTGTCTGCGGCTGGCCTTAATGCTCGGTCATGAGGTAATCCCGAACGAAGCGCAAATTTGACTGATTTATAGAATGTGTGAATGTATTCCCCGGCGAAGGTGTATTAGAGCTCGCCAGCTGGCGGCTGCTGGTAGAAAGTTTGTTTGCTATTGCTGTAAACATTGTGTTTAGGCAGCCGCAAAATAGTTTTTTTTTAGCCTAAACTTAGCCAACAATGATGATTGGCCCCAGATCAAAGTCGGAGCAGCTGATGGCTGCATATCAAATCATGTGGCACACGCAAACGTGCGAGCATTTCGATGGACCGCCCGTCCGCCGAAAAGCGACTTTTACGAGCCTCAGATGCCATCGAGAGGACTTTGCCCGGAGTCAACTAGCCAACTAGCCAACTAACCAACTGCCATCTGGCCGGCTGGAAACCGGATGGTCATTTTATTGTATTGCCAGGCTGGAGGCTTATTAGTGTTTCCTCTAACGAGAGTTGGACTATAATTAATATGTTTTTTTTGTTTTATTCAGTGAAATTTTGTTGGTTGATCGGGCGATTAAAATCAGCCAATAAATTTGAATGTCAAGATCATATAAAATGGGGCTATATTCTCTACAAGTACTACAAACATCGCAGAGTATGGGGCCAAATGTAAATTGAATGATCAAAATAACATAAAATTCAGTGATTGCTTAATTTTCTTGTTAAACATTGATTAAAATGTTTTTCAGTACTTTTTTGCAATAAACAAACTAAACAAGACAGATAGCCAGAGACTTCTCTACATTGCTATAAACATACATATTTGAAGCCAAATGTAAAGTAAGAGGAAAACTGTTAAATTAACGGAATTCATAAGTATTCCTTACTAAAAAAAAAAATACCGAAAAAATTTTAGCTTGAGATGGCAACAGCCGATAAAAACAGAACTTTGAGTTGAAGAGAAGACAAAATCAAAGGTAATAAAAAAAATATGTTAATGAAGTGTCAGAAATATAATCAATTCAAATAAAATCATTAAGTTCATCATATCAGAGCTGGGCAATAAATTTAATGACTTAACTCTAATTTGCATTAACATGAGGTGATATACTATGTGGACACAGTCAAGCTGGCGCGTCTTTAAAATACCTTACAACAAACTGATTTTTCAGAATGATATCAATAAATTATGTGATACCATCTATTACTCACCATACATACATAAATATTTATATACAAGAAAACATATGCATACACACATATATATCTATTCAACTTCAGCATCTAATTACAAAAGAAAGCTCCTATTGGTTTTTGTCTACGCTAAAAGTTCTCTTTGCTCAACAAATTCCTTTGTGCGTTAAGTGCAAAAGTTTGCTATCTGTGGAGCAGATTCAACTAATCGCTTAGTATATACGAAGGTTGCTGTATTCGCTTGTCGCAGTGTGAATGAGTACTAAAAAATGTGCAATAGGTGGCAGTGCCATCTTACTCCGAAACTTCGTTAAGTGTGGAAACTAAGCCAAACACAGAGTTGCAAGCTGCGGTTTGTGCAAATGGTAAGCCAACCGTATGCAACAACCACACAGAGATTAAACAATAGATGTCGCCGTGCCTCAGTAAGTTCAAGCAATGAAACATTTAAAGATGCAACATTTTAATACCCCAACTAATTAATTATGGCTTATTTAAATGTAAATTAATCTAAGTAACATACAGAGCATTCATATCACTGACTCCTAAGCAACAATTAATAACTTACAGACAAACTATAATACCATATTCTTGCCACTCCTGGCCCGCAATAGACGCATGATCAGCGAGTTCTTATCCAGCCCGTATATCGAGGTCTGATCGCTTTGTGTGCTCATCGGCTCATCCGACAAATAGTCCACGTTGGATGTTGTTGATGGATCGCTTTCAACTACGTCTTCATTTGTTTTTGTCGTAGTTGTTACTGCAGTGGTTGCGCTTGCCTCTACATCATCCGCTGTGCTCTGATCCAGGTTCTCGCTGGTTGCAACATCAAAGATGCTGCTCGTGGGTAGATCTGTCGAAGTCTCCTCTGTCTCTTGCTCAGGTGTGTACTCAGTGGCGTCTTCGGTGCTGAGGGGCGAGGCTGTTGTTGTCGTTGTTGTTGTGATTGGTGGTGCTGTGGCTGTGTATGCCGTTGAGGGAACTGTCGCCTCTGTTGTGGATGCCCGCGTAGTTGCTTGCTTGGTTGCGGCATTCGTGGTGGACTCCATTTCGATTGCATTTGCTGTGGCCGCCGTGCTGTCCATCATAAAGAGTATTTCCGTATCGGCTTCAATCTCACCAAAGATTTCCGCCGCAGACTTCATGTCCAAATCCAGCAACTGCGCATTCGCAATGCCCTCGAGTGTGTTTAGTGGTGCTGGTGTGGTTGTGGACACAATGGGTCGGGGCGTGGTCAGCGCCTGTTGCCAGCTGTACTGCGGATACTTCTCACTGTACACCTTCTTATGATGCGGTCTCTTATGATACGCATCCTTGCCACTCTCCGGCAGCTGCGGAGTCTGCCAGCTGTCCTTGGGGGACCACGCCTTCGCTGTGAATGGAGCCTTGATGGGCGCTGGCTTTTCCTCCTTGCTGTAGCTGTTCGCTTTGTAGCCCTGGAAGACGATTGGCTCTATTTTCCGTATCTTGCGGTTGCTCAGATCCTTGGCCGTCGGCGTAGGCGTGGTCCTGGCCGTTGGCGTTGGAGTTGGTCGCCTGAATTTCCTAAGCATGCGAAGCTGCGTAGGAGCAGCTCGTGTTGGTATGGTGGCTCGACGTTTGCCCCATGATCTGGGTCTGAACGTGGTTGTAAACAAGGTGTCATTGCTGGTGCCGCTGCTCCTGGTTGGCGGCACAGCGTAGAGCATGTGGGGTATGCGCGCCGATGGCTTGGGACTGGGTGGCGGCAAATTGTGAGCCACCTCATCGGCGGGCAGGATGCACTCGCCCTTGTGCGTGATCTTCCAATCTGTCAAATCGAGATGCCAACTGTGAGTAATTTGTGGCGAAATGAAATAAAGGGTAAACCTACTGCTATTGGGATCCTTGCAGCGCACACGCTCGAGGAAGCACTCGTTGATGATGGTGTAGCTGATGCCATTACGAACCGCGCAAACCGGACTGTATTTGCTGGGGCAGGGCTTATCGCAGCGCCGGCAGCGGCCCTCATACAGAATGGTCCAGGCTGTGAAGTAGTTTTAATTACAGTCGCTGGCCAAATCCCCGACGGTTCAGTGCTTACCATTGCCCACCGTTTGACTGAACTCCATCAAAGCGCACACATTGTCGAAAGTGCGACTCTCGCCATTGAAGCTGCCGCAAACGGGTTCATTACTGAACACGCAGGGCTTTGAGCTTACGCGCCTGGCTGGCTGCAGCTCGTTGCCATAACCAGGCCGGGATTTCATTGGGCTGCTGCCATAGATACGCCGGGATGGCCTCTTCACACTGTCCGAGGGATAGGGCTGGCGCGCGGGCAGCGAGTAGCTCTTCTCCATGATGCCCGATTTGCTGATGAATTGAGTGTGAAATGTGGAGGGCGCAAAGATTTGCACTGCATCCTCGGCCATCTCGAAGTCGTCCAGCTGATTGGCCTGCCTGTAGCTGCGCTTGCTGCGCTCCGTCTCCGGCTTGGGCTTCGTCTTGGGCTTCCACTTGCGGCTGTGCTTCATCTTGGTGCTGTCCTCGCCGCACAGCCCCTCGGACACAATGCGCCAATCTGCAAAACCGTTAACTGAGCATCTATCCATCTACCAATCTCTTATCGTGCACTCACTTCTGCCGGTGCGTATGTTCTCCGCGTTGACCAGGCACTCGTTGGAGAAGGTGGACTTGACGCCTGCATAGCTGGCACAGACCGGCCTGTAGACATTCGTGCAGGGTATGGGCCGGCGACGCTTGCGATGACCCACGAGCACAGTGTGCGCCGGCTGCTTGGGCTGCTGCTGGCCATGGGCGCAGACGCCCCACTTGTGCACCAGCCAATCGGTTCTGGTCAGGCAGCTGGTGCGCATCATCTCGCAGCGGTTCCGGAAGCTCTTGCGCTCGCCTGTGGCAACGCTCACGCCGCACACGGGCTGCGCGGCGCCCTCGCACTCCAGCTCGCAGCTGGGCAAACAGTTGTGCAAGGCGACATCAACTGCAGGCGAAAGAGGCAAGGAAGCTGGTTAGGTTGAGTGGGTCCACAGCCATAGCTGTGACTTGGCGACTTACATAGTGGTCCGCCCATCAGATTTTCGCGCTGCGCCTTGCGCAAGTCGCACTCGTTCTTGAACAGCAGATACTCGCCCTGGCTGCGTCCACACATGGGCGTATCATCACTGGCGCACAGCATCGTCTCGTGGTCCACAGTGGCTGCTGCCGCAGCAGCCAGGGTGATCAGAGCCAGCAGTCGAACTGCTCGCCTGAGTTCTAAGTCAATCCAAGTCATGTTCTGATGGCAACTGCAGTAACTAAGTTCAAACTAAATGCAACTGGAGATGCGCTCAGCTCTTTTATACCAAAGCGTGACACATGCCGCTGATAGAGCACCAAAAACTGTTGCACTGCCGAGCTGTTGTCAACACGTGATAATCGCACACGCACACGCTGCGAGAGAGATGCGAGATAAGTGCGCAGATAGAAATATGCTAAGCTGCTGCCATCACATATTGCATTAAGCTGAAAAAAGCTTATCTCCGGCCCGATATGCCAGCCAGCTGCTACACATTTAGCAACAACAGCTGAAGCACTAATTTGATATATCTTGGCATCGGAAAACATTATTGTTAAAGAAAATATATATTAATAATTATTTAAAATTTATTTTCTGTCCAATTAACATCTCTTCTATCTTGGAACATCAAAATATTCTTATGCAATTATTGATGCCGCTGATGCTCTCTATATATATAAGTATCTATATATATTCAAGTATATATATTTATGATAGTATATTCCAGCAATTGGGAAAACTTTTGATTTAGTGAATTAGATGTTCGATTGGTCGTCTTTTGCTTGGCGACATCGAGAATCTTGTTGCGGCTTTTGCTACGTGATTTCTGGGCGATTTTAACAAAGCGGCGCGAATCTAGATAAGACTTCAAGACTTGGCATTTGCATTGATTGTGTGGTCTCTGCTGCTGCTGCTGCTGCTGCTGGTAGCATTTGGACAAAGTTTATAACTTGTCTGAGTGATAACTATTTGGTGCTGGACTGTGCTGTGGCTATCTTTTCCGCACTTCTGCAAACTGATTATGGTGCATTTCGAGCTGCTTATCGCCCCCAACGGCTTTACTCATGCTGCACTTCATGCCGTATCAATAAAGTTGACCAAGCTGAAAACTACCTGAATTTAAGCAGAGTTCACCAAGGGAGAGAGAGAGAGAGAGAGAGAGTATGTGCGTGTGTCTCGCTTTTTTATGCCGTTGAATGAATTTCGTGCAATCGGCAATGGAAATTCTCTAATATCCGGCCGATAAGTGGGCGACGCACATATTCATTCAGCAAAATATGTCGAGCATTCGCACGAGATAAACTTTAATGTGACTTATCGGAGTTGACTTTAGGTCAAGAGGCGTGAGTGATGGGCAGATAGGCATTGTAAATTCAATGCTGTTAACTTGAAGTGTGAATTGAAGAGTTATCCATTAGTCTCTAATCTTTGGGCAAATGCTTTGCTCATTTTAAATAAAGTTTCTGTCCACTTCAAAGTCATTCATCTCAGGAAATAAAGATAAAGCGCTTGGGGGAAACTATTTTGATTAAGCTCAACAGGCTTTTCGTTTCATTGGCAGCGATTATTAATGCGATAAAAGTTGATGTAGCTGGTTTGACTTATTGACAGCAATAAAAATCACCTGCATATTTGTCAAAGTGATATACTAGTTTGCTTGCATAGAAGCACACATGCATGCATGCAAATGGATCGACTCGGACTACATACGTATATCTTCAGCTCGCCTAAGGCCATCAAATAAATTAATTTGCATTTTTTAAGAGTCTGCAGCTTGAAATGTTTAACTGAAAGTTCGACTCTCTTTGCATGTTAAATTTGGAATTAACACCATGAAGTCTAAATGTCAAATATATTTTTCATTAGCACAAATAGCAAGACGATTCGTTCGGAGCTGCATTATAAATATAGAAATATTATACATATGTATGTGTGCAATGGAATTTATACTCGGGATATTTCAGCTGTCATGATATGTCATTCATACAACAAATTTTGCTAGTCCTAATAGGTGTTTATATTAATTTTTTGGCTTCAAAAAATACAGTGACAGAAGCTTGAAACATGTGCAAAAAATACTAAATACCAGATGCTTGAAATTCAGTATTAAACGGTTTCATGGCAACGGAATAGCTTATTCATTTATTTGAAAGAAACTTGATCGGCGCGTGCTATAGAAAAACCTAAGCGTGTATAATCAAGGCTGTGACTCTAGAGATTCTGATGTCGTTGCCTTCCTATAAGCGAACTCCGAACGAACGGTCGAAAAGACAGACAGCCAGAAGGACAGACAGACATATGGGCAAGGACAAATTTTCTTGACTCTTGATTCTAAGCAAGAATATATGGGGTCAAGCTTGGTTGCTTTTGCCTGCTATACATACAGTGGAGCTCCGATAGTTCGAATGGGAATTACGATTTGTGCAGATTTCCATTTCATTTTCATTTAAGCGTAATGAATGAATGAACAAGTGAACCAAGATGAGGGGACTTTGTACAAATTTCTGCATTTTTTGCGAGTCTTTCAACATAACGAGAGACAAATTATCTCGACTCTATTGTATTAAAATTAAGAGTACTCCCGCATTCAATTGGCTCAGGTTACATAAACGCATGCACATTCGCGTACAGCTTATCCTCACTAATCCCATTACGCTCTAGCCGGCCCATTAGTAAATTGTAATGACCCGAAGCTTTCATTAGCCAAAGGCACTTTTGAAAGCCATAAACATTTGTTGTCTTGGCAGTCTAATGATTTTTGGGAGCCATCTAACAGTGCCACACTTGGCTATTCTTGGCAAAGAGCTATTGGGATCTTGTTCGATTTTCGAGTTGACATAATCGTCGGCGAATCATTACGAGCATTTCGTGTCGATCTGCTGGAGCTGCGCTGTGCCAGCCATTAGAAGCCACAGACAGCCAGAAGCGCCTAATGGCCAGCGATTTGAGAACAGCAACAGAAACGGGCGCCAAATTGCAAAAATTTAATAATGCGCGCCTAATGGAAAATACCCGTTCGCTCTCGAATGGTCCGCTCGGAGCTGCAGATCACGAAAAGAAAGCAATTGTGAGCGTTTGCTGAATGCGAGCGCTGAATGGAGTGCGCCGCATAACTAGGTGAAATGTGAAAGAGAGGGAGAGAGAGCGAGAGAGAGAGCGGGCGAATGAGAGACAGTGGGAGAGCGCGAGTAAGCGGCGATCATGGCTGTGTCTTGGATGGCTACTTGCTTGGCTGGTTGGCTGGTTGGCGGGTTGGCTGCTTATCTGCGGCGGTGCGGCTGCGGTCTTTGGCAGCTTTGTTAGAGCAGCGGGAAAAAAACGCAGCGCAGTCTAACGACAAGAGCTGAAGCAGAAAGACATGCGAGGACGGGTGCAACGGCCACCAGAGTCAGTGAACGCAGCGCATTAAAAATCAAAGTTACAACCACAACAACAACAACAACTACAACAAATACATAAACAAAAAAATTAGTGAAGCCCACTCAGAGTTATATCTGTAGATCTTCAATTAATCCGACTTTAAGACCCAGTGCTGAAACATAGACAGAGCCCTAGCTCATTGGCCCGTGCTGAATATGGTTGTGCAAAAGGCAGCCACGCCCACACTGCCAGCCGCAGCGGTGGCAGACGGCCCGGGCAACTGCTACATGCAACAGTATCAGAAATATGCCACACACTGCGAGACGGCGGACAGCGGCAACGGCAGCGACCTGGAGAGCAACGGCGGCCCCGTGCAGGCCACGCTCATCCTAACGGACGACAGCGAGGAGAGCGAGCCCTCCTCCTTGAACAGCGACAGCCTCAACTGCAGCAGCACGGAGTACGTGCGGCAGGCAGCCGCCAAGCCCAGCGGACAGTTGGGACAGCGGCAGCGACACAAATCGCTGCGCATGCTGGGCACGCTGCTGCCGGACTCGCTGCTGCGCGACATACGGGACAGACGGAGTGCGGAGTATGTGGTGCAGTTCAGCAGCCCCGTCGAGGTCAAGGACAAGCCGCCAAACCGGCAGGCCAAGGTAGTGACCATAGCTGAGCCAGAGACAGACAGAGAGAGGGAGAGGGAGAGGGAGACGGAGGTGGAGACAGAGACAGAGACGGAGGCAGAGTCGTTGCGCTTGTCGCGCGAGTCGCTCAACGAGGCGAAGATCGAGGAGCTGCGCGCGGCGGTGCAGCGAGCCAACTTTGTGCAAACCGGTGAGCAGGCACAGCTGGCAGCCACGTCGCAAACGGACAGCCGCAACAGCAACGGTAACGGCAACAGCAACGGCAACAGCAACAACAACAGCAACCGATGCAGCAGCAACTACAAATATGCGGACGATCAATACTACAGCTTTCACATAAACGAGCACGAGAACTTCAGGAGCTTTGTGCGGCACGGGGACCAGCGGGACGCGGCCGCCGAGGATGAGGAGCACGACGTGTTCGCTGGCTATCGCGATGTGCGCAGCAGCGCCAGCTCCACACAGTCCACAATACGCTCCGCCAAGGGAACGGTGCGCGGCGTTAAGAATCGTGTGCGCAATGGAATAGCCACGTTCTTGCAGCTGCAGCAGCAGCCGAATGCAAAGGTGAGTTGTGCAATAGCCAATTTCCCACGCTGTGTCTCTAGCTGCGTGTGTGTGTGAGTGTGTGTGTGTGTGTGTGCTGCCCTTTATTGAGTCACCTGCTGTCTAAATTATGCAATCAAAGCGCGCGCATCTTGGCAAATTGTTTACCAATTGCACGCTCCATGGGAGAAAGTGCTGCCAAACAATTGCCGTTAGTCGTGCTTGCTGTTGTTGCTTTGGTTGCTGCTGTTGGTTATAGATATACATGTACATATGTATGTGTGTGTGTATCTGTATATATATCTTTCACATTTGGTATTTATGTCTGTCTGTTCGTCTGCTGCTCGTAATCTAATGAGCCACGAGTCTGGCTAACACCATAAGCACTGCATCTTTTCTCCACTCTCTGTATGTGTGTGTGTGTGTGTGTGTGTGTGTGGTGCGTGCAATTACACACTCGCATGTATAATGAATACCGTTAAGTGGCTTATTTTGTTGTCGCTCGCTTGGCTATGGCTTATTTAGATATCGGTTTTGTGGTGCTTTGCCACCACTCGCTGGTTTGGGCCAGCGGCTTTTTTTTTTTTTTTTTGCTCTGTCTATTTTCTGTCCATTTGTTTTTTACCTTTTTATTTTGTTGTTGTTGGTTTTCTTTGCTCCCAGAAAGATAAATGGTTTAGCTTGAGCCGTTGAGCTGCTAATGGCAGCGCTCGGAAATTGTGCAGTTAGAAAACTTCAACGAACAACAATAGCAACAACTAATCATAGAAAGTCAGCAGAGCTGCTGGAAATTGTCAACATTTTCTTTGGGGCGGGCGCTGAGCTCTCATTGTGAGCGAAACGAATCAGAAAGTCAATTAATGAAACAAGAGAGTGTCATCTAACCAAGATATTATTAACATAAGAGGCAGGGGTCTAACTCAGCATAGAGAATGTTCGCGCTTAGATGTCAGCAATATGCCCACAGACTTGTTTTTATGCGTGTGTGCGATAACCACAGCGTATTCAATATCCGCGGGAAGACGTAGATTACATTGCTTCGCAAGCAAGAGTGCACTTCCTATCGTCTATCGACATATATTATTTCACTTAATTACATCCATCTCAAACGAAAAGTCGATTCGAGTTGCTTTTAAATAACATGCCAGAATATGGGTAAACAAACAAAAATTTAATTGATATATCTTAGCAAGAAAACTCTGTTATCGAATCGAAATATCTATCTATCAATGAAAACAGCTCTGCAGCTCTGTCAAGTCTCAAGGAAATACTCCAGGCCCAGAGGCTTTAAGATTTCTGCCATCTTCTCTTTAGAACCTTGTTTAAGTCCAATTGCTGCATCATTCATATAATCTAGTGAAATAAACAGATTTTGTAGGCAAGAACAGTTCAAATTTCATTACACTTTTATTAACAATGGGGCATCTAGTCTAAGTATAAACAAACCTAGAAGTCTGTTTACTTCATGTCATTATTAACGAAAGTGTAAATAAAGCCACAACTGTATTCAGTGCAGAAAAAATATCATAGCCCAGCTCATCTAGTTCTGTGAGTCGATGAGTTTTATTGCCTTATTCATTAATTATTAAGTCAGTAATTAAACACATTCAAGCCGCTCTTCAAGTTTCACATTTTAGAAAACTTGATCAGATATCGTCAAAGCATTCAAATTCTGAAGGCTTCAATCGTTATAAATGCGATGCATATCAGAGATTAGACAGTTATTTCAGCGTTTTATATCGAGCATAAAATCAGTTCATCCGCAAAGCTGATGGAACTTTCCGTTGCTCTGTAATGATATAGATGGGTTTGTTTGGGGTTTGTTTTGTTTTGCTTTTTTTTATGCTCTTTAACTTTTATTATTAAGTTAGTCAGCTGTGCGCATTTCACTTCCAACCGAAGACCCGGAAATTTCCCTTTATCTATTTTAATGCTCAGATTTAAGATCAGTTTAATTGTTGGCTTTGTTGTTGCTGCAGCTGCTCTTGCTTTTCACTTTCAAAGCTATGGAGCTTGACTCTGGGGGCCAGATGATGAATTCTATGGAATGCTGAAGAGCTGAAGAGGCGAACAGATCGTCATAAATTAGCTAAATGCCAAAGAAAAGAAATGTGGTTTATGGCTTTATAGCGGCTCACATGCAAATTAGCCAAAACGAAGTCGAGAAGACGTCGAGCTTAAGGCCAACGCGCTGCGATCCTCATCTGCATAACAATCGCGGCACTCAGATGCTGCTAATTACGATGCAGTCAGCATGCGAGCAACTGGCGGCCGCAGCTCGTATGCAGAGCAATCGGGCTGAATCGAAAGTGAAAATCTGTAAGGCATTGTTTTGACGCTCTGTTGTTGAGTTTTAGATTCGATATTGGTGGCAAGCGCAGCCCTGTGATTTATGCCCTGCCTGGGACTGTGCAATTGGCTGTGCGCCATACCTAATTAGAGCAAACTGCTGTCAAATTTGCTGTTGCCACTGTTGCTCACAATTAAAAATCACAATAAAAGCAACAATCGAGCTGCTGCCTTCGTTTTGTCACCTTCGAGAAGGCAGCAACAGCAGCAGCAGCAGCAACAACAGCAACTGCTGTCCGCTGTCGGCTGTCAGCATTAGCCTCGTATCTGACTCCGCTTGTTGCTCAACTCTTCGATTGCCAATCACTCGAACCGACTGCTGCCTCTTTGCTGGCCATACAAGTGACCTGCTTTCTCTTTTTACCAATTCATGCGGCTGCTGCGGCTGCGACTGCGACTGCGACTGCGACTGCCTCTTCGTATATGTTGCGGCTGCAGCTTGACATAAACAGAAACAAAATCGAAAAAAGCAACTAACTGTGCTCTAGTCAATCCACTGATACACTAGTAGATGCTCTATAGAAATTTCACTCCACACGGCTACCAAATCGAACAAACACGGAAACACTTTCTGCTGTAACTGCTTCATATTCATCTTGGGCTTCAGTCTATTTTAAGACCTAACGACCTTCCCTCGTTAAAATTTACTAATTGAAACAAACGATCTCACTTTGAAATTAGCTGCAGAGGAAGATCTCATATAAGATCTATCTGAAGACAGACAGAATGAGCTCGGCCAACAGACAGCAAGATGAGCAGATAAAAGAGATAGACAAACATTCAAACGGGTTTCAAGCCAAGAGCAAGAATACCAATATCTCATATATAGACAAATTTATCTACCAGCCGACTATGCCCTCTTTGAGGCAGCTATGATAACAGGGTATGGTAAACTGTTACTGCCATGAGGTTAGCCGTGCAAATCACGTGTGTTAATTGTTTGTCTGTGTGTTATTTATATTTTGGCAACTCGCAACATCACATCTTAAAGCCTGCATGCTGACAACATTTCGTGTTGCAGTTGGCCGAAGCGTTAATCAGGCTCAGCGGGCGAAGTGAATGGCTGCCGGCCGAGGGGTATGACAGGCGGGCGGGCAGGGTACATCCTCGGATTTTCACCAGGGACACTCGTTGGCTTGCAGTTGGAAAAACCGCCTGGCGACATCACAGAGCGACGCTCACCGCATTGCACAAGTTGACTTTCCATTTGACCGCAGCTTGTTTTTGTTTAGCTGCAAAGTTTTTGGCTCGAGGCTTTGAACTCTATTTTGTCATTATTTGAGTGAAATAATTTTCACAATATCCGAGCTATAAATTAACAAACATGTATATTTTGCACGCTGACAATACCAGATAGTTCGGCACAAAAAGAAATTCGTATTTTGATTTTGGCAACATCATTTAGGAGCATGAATAGTTCATTTTTTTACTTTTTCGTTGGTTGATCTGCATTTGTGCAATGCTGAGCAATGCTAATTGGAACAGGTCTCAGTGCTCTGCCCACTTGAATCGGGTATTTGATATCAGATGCGCCATGGTCTAACGGTCTAATCTCGAGTTTAATGCATTTGCCTCTGCGAATTCTCGTTGGACCGGTTGGCAAAGCGGGGGATTTGAGACTTATTTCGGAGTATGCCCACGTTCGTGACTGCACTTGTACAGTTCATTGATACCGGCCGTGGCTTGGCTGGCTCGGTTCGCTCTGTTGGCTGGAAAGCGGTTCATTAGCCAAAGCAGACGCCACCAAAGTTGGCCAACTAACGGAAATGTTAATTGTCAAATGAAATGAGTGAACCCGAACCGGTTCAGCGCCGGCCTTACAAAATAAGCCATCATAAATAGTCGGGAAAACGTCGCATTTTCATTGTGCAAAGGTGTGTGTGTGTGTGAGTGTGTGTTGTCAATTGGCCAGCAGTTTTTCCATTATTGCTTAATTGAATTGATTAATAGGATTTGGAATGACATGCAGAGTCGTTTGGTTACGTGAGACACACCACCAAGAGCTAATGAACCCAACAGGTTGTGTGCCACCCCACGACTCGTCGCAAGAGACTCGGGTCCGAGCCGTCTTTACATTTGGCTTTAGTGCATACAAAAGGCCCATTGTCTTTGAGGCTGGTTCTGTCTTCCCGAGATTTCTCCGCTGCTGAAAGCGGAAAATGTCGCTGCGTTTTGTATGGATTATATTTGGTCATGGTAATTGTTTTATGCTCCGTTCTTTGCAGCCTCATTTGATCTTCATTTGGTCTCGCCCCGTTCGGGCCATGACCAAAGTCTGAGCGCTGTGGCGAATTCTGTGCCAATTTCAAGCATTTTATTTTTAGTGACCCGCTTTTCCCGTCCGGCTAGAGAAGTGGAACTAACATTCTAATCTCTTACCCGTTCCTACCTGTTCCGTTCGCAGTGCTTCATGGAGAAAGACCTGGGCAAGGTGGTGCTCTACACGACCAGCATGGGCGTCATACGAGACACCTACACGAAATGTGCCAACGTTAAGCAGATACTGCGCACTCTGCTGGTCAAGTTCGAGGAGCGGGACGTCTTCATGAGCGTCGAGTATCAGGCCGAGATACGGCAGCGCATGCAGAGCTCACAGATCCGGGTGCCCCAGCTGTATGTGGAGGGCCAGCACATCGGCGATGCGGCCACAGTGGAGCGCATGAATGAGTCCGGGGAGCTGCGGCAGCTGCTGAAGCCCTACAAGACCATCGCCAGCAACTACACCTGCCAGACCTGCGGCGGCTATCGGCTGCTGCCGTGCCCCTCGTGCAACGGCTCCAAGAAATCCGTGCATCGCAATCACTTCACGGCCGAGTTCGTGGCGCTCAAGTGCATGAACTGCGACGAGGTGGGCCTGGTCAAGTGCCACAACTGCTGAGTGGAGAGCAGAGCCCTTCGACCATATACATACATACATACATAAAATTATACAGACATATGCTCGTACTTAGCACTTAAGCGCGCTATTTGCATTTTGTATAACCCCTAATCGTAAGCCCAGTTTAACTTAGTCAACAACAACAACAACAACAACATGAAGAGCAAGAAGCAGAACAACAAGAATGCAAACATACTAACTAACCCTGTCTAGATCTAAGTAGTAAATAGTTTTGAAAAGGCAACCTCTGTGTTTTATTGAGACTCGAATCGGATTTTGAATTATGTATTATACTATATATATTTATGGCCAGCAAAGTAATTATATTTAATTATATACACAATGATATTTGGAGCTGATCTCACTTGGATCTGCCTCTGATCTGTCTTATGTTTAATATGAAATATTGTTGAAGACACTCCAGCTCATAGATCAAATATATCTAATATCATCTAAACAAAGATGCAGATCAGCTCAGCATCAGCTTGCAGTGAAATAAAATAAACAAAATCAGCTTTTTTAGTTTGAAATTTTTGCTTCCACAAATTGTTTTCAAGACTTTAAGGATTGATTTGAAATGGTTACAGTTTGAATATTCTTTCGAAACTGCAATCCGATTAAATACTTTGCACTGGGCCAAGGTGTGCACACACAATGCCGTTAACCATGTCTGATTGTGTTTGCAGTCTCTATCTCACTCACTCGGCGCTGCTATCTCTCTCTCCTCATCTATTCCTCTTTGTGCTTGGCAATTATGTAAACCTGCTCCACTCAGACTCCGCACTGACCGTGCAATTTTCTCGCGCCATTTAATTTCTGCCAGCCGGACCGTCTGCCCCTCTCTCGACCCGGGAGATGGCTTCCTTCTATGGATGCCTGCTTCAGCTTCAGGTTCGGCTGCTGGCGGCCCAGTCGGCCCATTTGCCATTTGCTATTGCCATTTGCTTTTGGTGTCTTTGTTAGTTATTGTTATGGCATTTTTAAATGTTATTTTCCACTTGGCTCACACTTGTGTTTAACATGCCGCCCACACGCACTCCGCCAGCCAGCCAGCCAGCCAGCCAATCTGGCCCGCCCAGCTGACCAGGCCAACTGACCCTCAGCCAGCAGCAGCAGCAGCAGCAGCAGGAGCAGCCAACCCTTTATATCGGCGGGTGGCGTTAGTTAAAATTGTTGTGTTTCCGCATTTGCTTGTTGGCGACTGTTGGCACTGCGGCCCGGATCGTTAAATTCACAGGCGGCTACATTGTAATTACCAGGCCAGGCGACCCGTCGAGCGGCTGGCCCAAATCCTGAGCCAAGGCAGCTTGATTTATGCGCCAACAGCGACGCTGTCGGCTTCGTCGTCGTCTGCGTCGTCGGCGTCGTCATACGCAATTTTTCATAAACAATTTGGCACAAAAACATACACACAATATACCGTTGGGCGTGTGGGTGCGGAGTGGGAGCTGCTGCGGGTGGGCAGGTGGGTCTGGGTGACTGCCAAAAACCGTGCAATATTAAAATAAATATTGTAAATGCCGGTAATACGGGCAAACACTGGCGTATGAGCAGCTCGTGGCCACAGCAGGGCTGGCAGGACTGGCAGAACTGGCAGGCCTGGCAGGACTCGCAGGAGTCGTTCGACTGACAGCTATATGGCAGGCACTGGCTGTCGCCGGGCCTCCACTGCCTGGCAGTTAAACCTTTCAAAGGCACACGCCCCTTCACTGCCTTATGTGGGGGCTGCCATTGTTAACTTTATCCGCGGTAATTAGTTTATGCGCGCAATTTCATGTGCATTTCGGTCATTAAATATCATTGTTGTCGTTGTTGTTGCTGCTGCTGCTGCTGCTGCTGCTGTTTTTTCCAGCTGCTGTGTGCATAGCTATTATTTCGGCATACTTTCCGGCACCGGCTCCAATATGTAAAGCGCACGTCGAAGCTTACAGCTAATGCTGCATACTTTCCGGCGCAGGTGTTTAAGTCCGTGCACTATAAATTGTGTGTGCTGCCGGCGGAGGGGGTGCTCCCAATTGGCGACAAATAAAATTAGGAACACATTATGTTTTCGACAAAAACTTTGAAATTGTTTGGCCCCACCGACCCGCTCCAGCCGACACCGCTCGGCCACTCGGCGTGCCTTGGAGCTCATTACATTTACTGGGGCTGGGCCACAAATCACGGGCAGCTACTCAACGGATTATTAAGTGAAAATTATGGCACTCCTAAGGCTCATAAAGCATTCACAATGCTCTTGGCCACGCCAGTAGCGGCGGTTAGTTACATTTTTTATTGTCAAAGCATTGCTGATGTTGTTGTTGTGGTATCTGTTGTTGTTGCTGTTGCTGTTGCTGTTGCTGTTACTGCTGCCCTAACCCATTTGGTGTCTGCCATAAAACTAACATAGCTCACATTATGGTACAGCCCAGTCAGCCAGAGACTTTTATGCTTTCAGTGTGTGCATAAGTTTTAATCTGCCTTTGTTACAATCCGTTGGCTTCGTTCACTATGTGGTTCAACTGATGAAGCCCCTACTCCTGCTCCTGCTCCTGCCCCTGCTCCTGCTGGTGCTGCAGCTGTGGCCACTGCAAAATGAAAGACCGTAGCGAACCACACTGAAGCCCGAATGCTCAATCGCAAGAAACCACACAGAGACCAAACGCTTTGTTCTGTTAACAGAGAAAGCGCCATCGATAATGGTCGCTCTTTAGAGCATATCACAGCTAAAGGCATTTTGTAAGATATGTGTGAAGTGGCTGGAGTAGCCCCGGGGACACATTACGAATTTCTACACGTTCTTGCTCCAGCCCCTCTTTGTCCCTTATACACGTCCGTCCCCAGAGACAGTCGGAGTTCTTTATCTATTCACCTAAGATCTAACACTTGTTTGCCCTTGTCAGGAGAGCTACAAAGTTCTAAATAATCCTTTAATATACCTTATTTTATTTATTTAATTAAATTATAATTGAATGTTATTAACTTATCTACTTAAAAAGGAATATCATTAATATGAGGACATATTATCAACATTTTCAGACTTCGGCACTTGGGCTAAGATCTGACTTAGTCTGAATAAAGAAATTGTTCAAGCTCTTACAGTAGTTCTTACAATTTCCAAGTGAAGTTAATTATATTCTCAAGGACCTTAGTGAATGGCATTAAAATCTTATTAAAATTGTGGGTTTACATTTTTATTATATTTCCTAGAATAGTTCTCTCTTTTTATTCGCTCCGTGCTTTTTACTTTTAATTAAAATATATATGTATATATAAATATTTTTGCTTTATATATAATTTAGTTCTTATCTTTTCCAAGAAAACCCGCATTGATACATATACTGCCAGGATTTCTTGGAACTTTCTCTGGTATAGAATAAAGTTTTACTTCAATTTGTGTTACCAACATCATTAGCCAGATTTTATACCCTCGGCAGGCAGCCAAAAGTGCAAAACAATTCACAACTTGTGCGCAGTAAATAAAATAAAATAAAAGAAAGAAAAGAAAAAAAGACTGTGAAGAGAAGAAGCTAAAAGTAAGTAAACAATTGATTAAAATTTATGCACTTTATCCGCTTGAACCGCACACACACACACACTGAGCCACACGCAATCGAACTGTTTCTATAGAGATATAAGAGACCAGCAGACATACGCTTTTATTGAAACTTTGCCTTTCAGCTTATCTGCGTGTGTGTGTGCGTGTGTGTGTGTGTGTGCGGCTGGGTAAACAGCATTTTGATTAAATTATTTTAATAGTAAGTGAGAGATCTATGGTAAATGTATGTATAAGAGCATTCAATGTAAGAATCCTATCTCCACATCGCCTCCTCCCATGCACACACACACATACACACACACACAACCATCCCTGGCAGCTCCTACCCTGCCCTCTGGCCCAGCTGAAGTCAATTAATTCAGCTGCGAACTATTAAAGCACACACCGGGCGCTCATAAATTGAGTTTGAAACGCGACTTGCGAGCAGCCGCACATGAGTCAATTCTCTGAGGGGAGTTGAAAATGAATGAATATTTCATACGAGCCCAGATGCAGATGCAGAGATGCAGATACACACGCTTGCTCCACCACCCCACCCACAGCCACTGCGCCCCCTGGCCAATAAGCCGTTGCTAGCCATTAACAAACTGTTTCGATTGTATTAGCTCCGTGCCAGCAGATCTCTCGGACAGCTTGTTTTTTCCAGCTAATTCGTTGGAGTTTGGATTTGGATATGGATTTGGATTCAGGCAGTGGTTGAGATTCACCTGCCCGCATGACACGGCTCCGTCTCACTCACCCAACTCTCCGTTATCTAGGGCTCGCTCGCTTTCGCCCTGCTCAGTTTATCTCTGTTTAGCTCCCCGGCTGACTAGCAAATATTTATTGAACACGATTTGCTCGTTAGGCGAACGTAATATACACACACTCATACACGCATGCATACACTCTGCTTCTTTTTTTTCCCCCATTTTTTTTTTTTTTCGCTGCTGTTTCGCCTCGCACATTCGTTTTTCACTTTGATTCATTTTGTAGCATTTTTCAATTTCTTTGTATTGAATACTTTTCTTTATTTTGCCGTCTGCTTGCTTTTCTTATTCTTATATATACATACGTATGTACATATACATGTATATATATTTTTTTCTCTTTCCTTTTCTTGTAGCGATTTCTATCTACGACGCTTCTCAGCTGCCGAACGATTTGTGTGCAAATTTTCCACTGTCATTATGCGCATATATGTACGTGTGCGTGAGTGTATGTGTGCATTGGCGTAGGTGTGCTAGTTTGATATTTGGCCTAGGCCAGGCTAGCAGCTAGACCAAAAGAAACAGTTAATAAAATCCCTTGACACGAAGGCGTTTACATAAGCTTTTAGCAAATAATTGAGTGTGCGTGCCCTTGTTGTTGTTGTTGCTGTTGCTGTGGCTGGCACGTGTGGCGTGCCGGGACGAAAATTGTACGGATTGTTCGCAGCACTGGCATGGCCAGCCACTGCCAGTGGCCAGTGGGCGGGGCCAGGCACCTTTGCGACCAGCGTGCGGGGTTTCGGTTTCATTTCTGTAACTGGAAATTCAATTGAATTGGCAAAAATTGTTGTTTACACGCCGATTTGCTTGTTTGATTTATGCAAAATGGGTGCGTATGCGTGTGCGTGTGCGAGCTCGATGTGCGCCTCGAGATTTGGCCAAACAATCCAGCTCCGAAATTAGCCAGTGCTCCAAGCCAGGCCAACATCCGTTCGGCCGTTCATTCCAGAGAGTCTA